TCTCCATTTGCAATTAGTTTAACCTCCTGGCTTCTATATTAGGGTTTTATATTTCGACCTCAAATGCTAATTTAATAAATTCTGTATCTCGAATGCTCTGACCCTATATACCGAAATGATATTAAACATGACAAGTGTTAACATTACTTATTCTGTCTCATTGCTATATCCATCCTCTCTCAATGTGTTATTAATGGCGTCATGAATCTATTTTATGCATTAATAATTTAGTACTATGGTAATATTGAAATGCTTGTAAGCCGTTGATGTACTAATACAGTATTAATGAGTGCTAATATTACGAAACCAAATCAACACGACCATTATGTCAGTATGTATTTATTCGGTACAATGTCGTCCTCAAATGTGTCAGGTAAGTTCGTTGACATTGTTTTAATTACTTATTCATACAACCTGCTGTGTTGATTCGAAACATGGCAGTACAATGTATGTTATACTTCGTTATAAATGCTATTTCTATCATGTAAATCACTTTATTGTCATTGTAATGTATGATCATTCATAGTATCACCACATATATTATTTCACTAAGGTTCGAAATCGGTTTTATACCAAATAAAAATGCCATGGATGGGGTACCGTGTTGGATTCAGAATGACACGGTGGATTAGCGAATCATACATTTTGGTCGATATAATCATTTCGGTAGGTTTCAATAAGACTGGGCATCAAAAAACAAATTTTTGAATATTTCCAGCACTTCATGAGTCAATTCACACTAATTTTGGGTTAAGAAATGACGAATATGACAATGAAAAATTGTTCTTAGCTCTAGTTTCTGTGACATACACTAGGTGGAAGTTTTTCATATTAACAGGTTAAGAGAAAATGATACATTTTAATTACATATGCTAACAACGTTGAAAGTGCTTTTGATTTTTCAAAATGATAGTTACATTCTAAGAGTTATAAATTGCTGGAAGAATACCTTGCAGATAGTCGTGTCTGAAGAGATTAAGTGGTGGTTTCATGAGATCGTCTTCTTTTAGCTTGCCTCTTGCGAGGGAGTTCCGGAGCATCCCTAGATTTTATTTCTTACATTATACATTATGGGACCGTTGTAAATCGGTGGCTCGAGAAGAAAGAAATTGGTATTTCAAGATTTTGATGCGGGCATCAAGACCCGTTAAGTTTCCTCGGAACTACCGGGCCTTGCGTTTTAAATCTCGAAAATGTACCATTTTCAAGGCAAAGGGTTCGCAGCCGTACAACCTCACGTTAATTGTAGTGCTGCCATGGGATAAAAGTCTGACGTCGTCGACTTGCGGTCCCTATGGACGAAAGAGAATGAGTTCATATTATTTCTCAGATTTTTTTTTTTTTTTTTTTTTTTGTCGATACGCCATATCTTTGTTAATTCTTCATCAAATTCAATGAGTGAACCACGGTTTTGAAGATTTCCTTCTCCTTCTAATGAGAATAATAGTGACATTAGCTCGAAATTTCAGGCAAAAAAAGGATGAAAAAAAAGAAACTTTTTTTTTTTTTTTTTTCCTTATTCTCGCCTCTATCCTAAAGGGTCATTGGCGTTTTCTATGATTTATACTCTGTTATAGTAGTTTACAATTTTTTAAAAATTTAACACTATCGAGACTCTTTCTTCATTGTCTTTTAGTATTTCTTTTAAAAGAAACTTTATTTGCGATTATCTCAAAATTAATTTCTATGTGGGAATTACTTACTAAATTCTCTAAAAAACGAAAAAATCCTATTTAAAAATATGAAATTTACCAAATTACTTCATTTACAACAGGTGTTGCCAATGTCCCTACAGGGTAGAGGCGACAAAACAACAAGTAAATAAATGAATAAAATTTACAACAGTGTGAGTTGTTTCTCTTAGAAAGCTCATTTCACAGCTGAAGCGACATTTATAAAACAAGATATATCACTAGCGATAGGCCGCGGGACTTCGGTGGGGGTCTTAATGTGGCCCGTGGGACATAAAGTTTGGTGACCCATTATCTAGACTGTGTTCATATCTTGGCCTTAGTTTGAAAAGGTTCTGACTAATAAATTTGGAAAAATTGAATTTTCAATCATAAATCACTTACAACAAAGTTATCTATTTTCCATATGAATTTTAGTGCCATCAGTTGAAAAATAAAGAAATTAGCTGAGTGACATTGTTCTTTTGAAAGTAATTGGTTTGAAATGGTTCCAACTGCTACGCCATGTAACTTTATTGATTTATAGTTATTTTAATGAGTGTTAAACATGAAATTATATCATTCACTATTACTATGTAGATCTGTTCTATATTTATAGCACATTTGAATAGATTATTTAAGTAACGACCTATGTGATATTTTCATAACTTTTATAAAAAACTGCGAAAAAATATATTATACGAAAATTCTAGAACATAAAAAATATATGTTGGTTTCAGCAATGCACATATAATAGATTATTCCAATAGACAATAATCAAGATGAAAATAAATCGATGATCAGAATTATATTTCGAAAATTTACTCTGCTGTTGTTTCTGTATAAAAATGATATTTCGGTATTTTTTCTTACATTTCTTTAATTATAACTACTTCGGAAATGATTTAAAAGTAGATTATTGCTTCTGAAATAAATAATCTGTTATAATAATAATAAATAAATAAATAATTTCATTTAACGTTATAAGCATAAAATAATTTAGTAAATCAATTCTCTTTGTTGTTGGCAATTAATCGAAGCCATCCACATCATACAAAATAATAGAATAACAATAAATTACAAAACAGATACTAAACATTTAGGAACACATTATGCAGACATTTTAAATAAATTTAAACTTGAGTAAAAATTAAATGTTGTTATGTAACCAATAGTTATACAAATATCAATATAAAAATAGTAAATAATCAAATACAATGGTCAATAACATACAATACAATAACATCCGCAAGTAGCTAGCAGACACCCGATTGTTAGTCCCATAAACGTGATGCTCCAGTTATTATTTTTATTTTTACATACTCCCAGTCTGCTGGTGTTCCTCAAGGTAGTATCCTAGGTCCTATCCTCTATACAGTTTATACAGCTGACATCCCTACCTCTTCCAACACTGTCATCACCACATATGCCGATGACACATGTATCCTATCAGTAAACAATGACCCAGCAATTGCATCCCAAATGCTTCAATCACACATCATAAATCTAGAAGAATGGTGTCAAAACTGGAGAATTAAAATAAACTCCAATAAATCCCACCAAATTACCTTTACCCTTCGTCGTAAACCAACGACTTTCTGTCCTACAGTTTCCGTTAACAATACTCCACTTATCCCTGTTGAGCAAATCCGATACCTAGGACTCCACCTGGACAAACGACTAACTTGGAATCCTCACACTAGACTGAAACGACAAGAAACCGCTCGACGTTTCCGATTACTTCAGCACTTACTAGACAAACGCTCTAAACTTCCCATTAATTACAAAAGACTTATATACTTGACTATAATAAGACCTATTTGGACTTACGGAGTTGAGCTATGGGTCTCCACTAAACCATCGAATTCCTCTCGCATCCAATCCTTACAATCCAAAATCCTTCGTAAAATCCTCAATGCTCCTTACTTTGTCACTAATAAAATTATCCATAAAGATCTTAATGTTCCTTATGTTTCAGATCTGGCCCAATCCAGATACCTATCCTTCCATAATAAACTTCAGAATCATCCCAACCCTCTCGTTTCTAACCTTGCTTCCTCTTCAATTCCTGATAACCCTCCGAGGCGTCTGAAAAGAAGATGGCCCCGTGATCTCCTAATATAATCATATCATTAGAGTGCTACCATTGGGTAGTTACTCAGCAAGTGTATTCATGTCATTATATCAATTATGTCCAAATTTACTTGATGTATTTATGTAATACAGTTGTAAATGTCATAAAGAAATAAAAAAAAAAAAAATTTTTTTACATATATTACAAAAAACTTTGAATTATGACAAAGGAACACTCGACGGTTTTAGGTAAATACATCTAGTATGTAACAGCATTAGATTGACAAGTTTTGTAACATACATTCATTTTAATAAACTCTTTTCTAGCTATTAATGGCTTATGAAAAATGAAAATAAAGTTTTGAAGATGGGAATAATTTTCCGAAACGTCAACTTGGAAATTTTGAATGAATTACAGCAAATAAACTATTTGTTATATTATTTTTGGAAGTTTTTTTATTGCCTACAACAGAGAAAATTTACAGCTTCCTTACAAAAAAAGAAGAAAAGAAGAATTAATAAATCAATTTATTTAAAAAAAAAAAAAAAAAAAGAGAGAGTAAGTATTTTTATTTAATCCGGCTTTTCAATTCTTCCCACCCTCCATACAACGTGTAAAACCATTAATGTCATAGTGATCCTAACTGCATTTACATTAGAACTTTGTCCCACCACCGAAATGCATTCTGGAGTGCTAAATTTCTATTCTTGTTTTTTTTTTATGTTTGACAGTTCTTTATTGAGGTATATTACAATATGTCATATCTAAGGACAATAGTAATAGTGATAAAGAGTAGCTCATTCACACTATGTACAATAAATAAACAGCAAAATAATAATACTAAAAGTAAATGTATATAAACTTCGAGGAAGATTGTAGGAATAGGTAGAGTTAGATAGGGAGTGTGTAAGTGGATTCGGATGATTGACAAAGTTCTAACTGAAAAATTTTAATATTCAATATTATATTAACAAGTGGTTCAATTAGATCATCGACGACTGTAAAATCAAGTTCACAGATTCAAAGTATTGTGAAAACAAAATTGTTAGTCTAAGTAACAAAGTATTTATACTACAGCAAATTGTAACTTTGAAGCTCTGTTTCTCAAAATGATAGTAAATGTAGTTATATCCTTTTCAAACCAAGGCCACGATATGTTTATTAATTATTATATAGTATAAAGCACTTAATCAATTAAAGTATAATAAAAAGAAAAGAATCTTAATAAATTCTTAATGAAGTCTTATCTGTTTCAGGTCGCAATAAAAATAATAGATAAATCCAAGTTAGACGAGGACAATCTCAAGAAAATCTTCAGGGAAATACAGATCCTGATGAAGCTACGACACCCTCATATCATAAGACTGTACCAGGTGAGTCATTTAATGCTCCATAATCTTTTATGATGTTTAAATATCGATAATAAAACCAACATATACCGGATTCAACCGGCTATGTATTATCGAGGTTCGTTGCCTAAAGCCTGCATCCATTTGGTAAATCTGGCTCTCCAATATTGTTCCTTCTAATCCTACTTAATACACTTTTTATTCCAACATTGTCTAGATTGCTATACTGGCTAAATACTTTATGATTGACGTTTTAGAAATGCTGATTCGAGTAATTTTCCATTAGGCTGATAATGCTTTAACTATTTATCAATTCATCTTTATTAATAAATATATTGTATTGTTGAGAATTAATGTAGGATATTGTCTGGCTTACCGCATTACAGGGCTTTCAATAGTTATATGAGCACATTTATATATAAACTGAAATATTGTTATGAATAACTTGGTAAAATAAAAAAATAAAAATAGAATTGCATAATTAACCATGTTCATCTAATTTTTGTTTGTATAATAAATACATGAAAAGTGATTTAATTAAATTGAATTTTAATAAAAATCAATTGAAGGATGGATTTCTTTTAGCCCAGTCAAATTAGACATGGTTCCTTGCAAAAGATCGGGTAATTCAAATTTCTTTTTTGTATTTTTAGATATGTAGTGAACATAAAAAATCCAAGTTTCTGTCATTGAAAGCCTTGTGGGTTCCTGCAGTGCTCCAAAAACCATTAAAATGTCTAACTTCTTTTTGGTTTACGCTAAATATCTCCTTTTTAGAGTGACATAGATAAAAAATTGTTATATTCAATTATAAACAACTTAAAATTATGCAACATTTTCGTTCATAACATTTTTTTCTGAGCCCAACAGAAAGCGAACTGTCGAGCTTTCAAAATTTACTTATTTCGATTTCTTCACGATAGTACTCTTTCAATTTTAAATGGAAGGTTCTGTAACTCCATTTCGACACTCGTCTAGAGAATTTGGAGGTTTTTCCTGAAGTTAATGAGCCGTTGACTAGAATGGTAGATGGTAGCCGGGAGTAGTTTTGAACAGTACACGATGGACCAAAACATCGCTATCGTGCACCCTCCTTCCACATCCCAATAAGTTGCATATAGTTGTGTTCCTTATAGCTATTTATTAAAAAAAAAAAGCCAATGTTCCCACTAAACAAAGTGGCCGTACTGCCCCATAATGGCATCCAAACATGGCGGATTGGCGTCTTTGACTTCAGTTAGTTTTTCGGTCACTGAAACTAATTATTTAGCTTAATTACGTCATAATTGGCCTGTTAATAAAGCTGGATAGTTATAGAATAATAAAATATAAAAAAAAAATATTCCAAAATAATTGGCTTTAGCGATAAAAAACACCAGTAAATTCTATTTTCTTCAATTCGGTCAAACTAAAGTTGAAAATCAAGCGTCGTTTACGAATAAACGCTCAACAATAACGAAAAACGCCTTGAAATAAAACATCTGGAGAATATTTTTTTTTTTCTTAAACACTGATTACTTTTTTAAATATGTGAAATATTTTTAGAAACTATATTTAATCGGCGGAAAAGCGGCATTGGCATAGGCGCCTAGAGTCCTCTGCCATATCATTCATTACTTATAAATGATCTAATAATGTTATAATTATATAATAACGTTTTTACTATATTATTTTGATTGTATTAACGAACAAATATTAATACAATAATTTGATTATCCAAAACATTTTTTTTTTCTTTTTACTTCCTTTACTTGCATAGCACCATAACTATGCTATTTATAGGTACTGAATGATGTGGCATAAATTTGGCATTAAAAGTAACAAAAAAATGTAATTATTGGTGATCTATTTCATTAAAATAAGTGGATAACAGTAAAAATCAAATTATAAGGATTTTTCGAATTTTAAAACATCTTCTAGCTATTTTTTTTTTAGCGATTTGTATTTAAGTTGTTAAGGTTAGAAAAATATTTTTCTATTAAAAGCTGTAGTAAATTGTATCTGCTTTAAAATTTGAGCTAAGTCACCTATAAAAATAGATAATTAGTTAAAAACAAAAATTATACATATTTTTTGCCAATTGTCAAAACTTTACCCTTTTTGAAAGCTCGATAATTCGCTTCCTGATGACTGCAGAAAAAATGTTAGTATAAAAATGTTAAAAATTTTAAGCTGTGTAATATTAAATATAACCATTCTTTATGTATCTCATGTTTATGTCCCTTCAAAAAGACGATATTTGGCGTAACCAAAAAAGTTGAAAATTGTAATGGTTTTTGGAGCACTACAGTGAACTCACAAGGCTTTTAAGGTGGGAAACTTGGATTTTTACTATATTTCGGAATTTGGATTTTGGAACTATATTCACTACATATCTAACAATCTAAAAAAGAAATTTGAATTAACCGATCTTTTGCAAGGTAGGCAGGACCCTTTTTTGGTCTCATTTGACTGGGCTATTTCTTCTTTCTATTTTTTAACATTTTATAATTACTTTTCGAATTTTTTTTTTTTTTAAATACGAAACCCTCAAAAAGCACTTTTTGGTCACTAATTCAAATCACATTCAAATGTTCAAACATCTAACACTAAGATTTTGCAAATGGCACCAAAAGAGTCTGAAAATTGTTCCGTCTTTTCTCCCCAAATGGATGGGGAGTAATTCTACGTTGAATATAAAAATCATTGAATTTTAGTTTACCACATATATTTTGTTACTACAGATAAATAAATAAATAAGGTCACTTATCAATATCAGAGGATATTATCGATGGAAATATTGAAAGCTAAAGACCGCTGCACCTATCCTAAAATATCGGTTGATTTATTTCGTACCGCTGATAACGATTTAAAAAAGTAAAAATTTTGAGCAAGCAGCAGACAGCTGTACCTTCAACCGTAGCTTCAATCATGTCACATTCAATTAAACTTTTATAGGTAATTTTTTTAATTTATAATATATTAGTTATGCCCATTACTTCTGATCTGTAAATCGTTTTATTACAAACAGCTAAAAGTTATTTTTTATTCATAATGAATTACTTAATTTTCACAAGCAGACAAATATAATTCCTATAAGATAAGAATGCCACACTGTGCATCGATACACTTATTTCATTATTTGAAAGACTATTTAACTTTGACTTGAGTTTACTCAGAACATAAGTAAATGCTCATTTACTTCTGCTAAATACTGTATAACTAGCTCTCTTTGAACAGATCTTTACAGAGAGGTAAATAAAAGTTGTGTGATGCACCGCAATTTTATGTGAATGTCGAGATATTCTAATTTCTAAAAAATTTAACTTTAATTAAATTTTTTACTTGCTTTTAATAGTTTGTAATTTACTTTAAATTAAGGGAACGCCATTTTTTTATTTATTTTTTTATAGGTAATGGAGACTGATAGGATGATCTATTTAGTGACTGAATATGCTGCAGGAGGAGAAATATTCGGTAAGTCGTTAAAAACTTATTCTTATGGTAAAATAAAGACTTTCATGCATTTACATTTTATCACAGTGATTAGTGATATAGAGGGACAATATATGCCTTATAGACTGTTTTGGTTTATATCTGAGATTCCGGTACATAAAATCTTAATTTTGAACAGTCAGTTAATCCTGAATTTAAGAAATCTTTGAATTAAATTCTGCTGTTTTCTATTCTGAGCTTGTTAGACTCCTTATTGTCACCCTTCTTTCTGTTTAAGTAAATTGCTTCTGTTCCTGCAGGAACCACTTAAAAGCATAAAATATGGTGAATATATTTTCTATAATATCTGAAATCAGACACTATTTTTAAATATCACCTCGGTTCTTTTTTAAGAGAAACTAAGATTTACTGCTCCGTTACCATAGTTATTCTGAAACAACCTAATCATCCTCAAATAGCTGGCAAACAGAAATAAATTTACCCTAATCTGGCTACCAGGACACCGAAAGCAATGTTATTATAGTTGAATGCTTGATCCAAACTTCAATGTTTCAAATAGCTTAATCTATACAGGAAAAGGACTTAATTGAACTTAGATACTGGAATCAATCTAAAAGTTGTTTCTATAAGCATAGGACCATTGAAAATGTTACCTCAATTCAACTAATGATAGTTTGAGAACAACTGGAACTCATTGCCAGCCGTAGGGCCGGGGCAAGCCAGGGCGCCGAGCTGGAGGGGTGAAGGGGGACATCGACCACTTGTTATGAATAGAAAAAAATTACAAAGTGTATGGGAGTAAATAATTTTAGGCTATTAACCAATTAGCTCAATTATAAACATTTTGAATTAAATGAAATTGAAACATTATTACTTTATATAAAAAAAGTTTAAGAAATAAATTAAATTTTTAGGGGAAAGATGACGTCATAGTCCAGAAAGGGGAGGGGGGTGCCAAATGTCTAAAGTCGCCACTGCTGCAACTATCCTATGAAATATTATCTTGAGGGAATGCAACATGATGTTGAGGAAATACTAAGTTTATAGGATAAAGAATAACCTGATTTTTTTTTTTTTTTTTTTTTTTTTGGTCTATGAATATAAAGCTTTTGCTTTCTACAAACTGTGACATTTAAGTAAAGCCATACCAAAACCTGAAGATATTAGTATATTTAATTCCATGGTTGTGATTGTTAGAAACTTAATATTTCCTTGAGACCACTAATTAGTCATAGAGGTAGTAACAAAAGACCAAAATATTCATATATTGTGATATTTTTGATACATTTTCAACATATGTTGAAGTAATGCTTAAGGTAATCATATTAATTTTTCTCATAAAAGAGACCAAAACTTATTTGCATTTCATTAATACTTATTGTGAAACTTTTTATTTTTTTTTTTGTTATATCGTTTATGTTATTACTACTATGTGCTGATAGATGGCCGTAATCTCATTTATAATTTATGTTTTACTTTATAATATTGCTATTTAAGCTTCATATTTTCTTTAAGAGAAATATACATACCTCTTTTTTTTATTATCATTTAATTTCCATAAAAAAACATGATTTGAATAAGTGTGATCATTGTAGCTGCACTGATAACAAACTTGTTCTTGCTGAACCTTTGTGTCAATTACTTGTTATTCATTGAGGCAAACTAATAACTAAAAATGGTTTGTGCAGTTTTCCTTCACCCAAACTTTAGTGATTTTTTTTTTTAATTAACTTAATTATATATTAAGTAAGATATAATATTTTACTATTTCAAATATGAATAATGGTTCAGATGGGAATCCAGGAGTCCCCTACAATTTGTAGGTCTTAATTGGCTCAGTAACAGTAAAATTGAAGTAATTCATAAAAGTGTCTCATGTAGTTAAAAATAATAAAATATATTTGCAATGCCCCATTAATATACCATATATCAATAAAGCAGTACTCAATTTATTGTATGTTTTATTTTTCACTATAATCCCAGAATCATCACCATTTTTTATTTACCCTAATGCATTCTTAAATTTTTTTTTTTCTTACTAAACAAATATGATTTTAATTTAGCTATCAGATTTGAAATATCATTTACTGACACTGTAGTCATAGAAATAAGATTTGAAGTTTTTGCTCATTGAGGGAATCACAATTTAAATTTGAGAAATGTTAAAAGCTTTATCATCTTGTACAAGTCTTATTAATATGATTTTTTTAAAAATTAAATTAAAATAGATTGCATCACATTATTATATTTACAGATTATCTTGTAAAAAATGAACGATTAAGTGAAGAGCAGGCATGTAGAATCTTCCACCAGATAGTGGCCGCAGTTAGCTATTGTCATTCTCGAAACGTTGTCCATCGAGATCTAAAGGCAGAAAATTTACTTCTTGATGCGAATATGAATATAAAATTAGCAGGTATTCATTTTTTATATTTTTCTTTATATCAATAAAAAGTTTTTAAAAAGTATTGGATTCTTCTTTGGATTCAATTTATTGAATACTTGTTTTATAATTTTTCTTCCAGATTTTGGCTTTAGTAACAACTTCGAAGCTGGTAAGAAACTGTGTACTTGTTGTGGAAGTCCACCATATGCTGCTCCAGAACTTTTCCAAGGTGTTCAATATGATGGTCCAAAAGCTGATATATGGGTTAGTAATTATTCTTATCTTTAACTTGTGAAATGATTTATAAAAAGATTGTTGTAGTAAAAGATTATCGTAACTGAACTAAAAGGTTTTTTTTAATACAATCTAATCTTGATTAATAATTTTCAATGACAAGTGACCAACTAAAAGCTTTGGATGTTCATTATCACAAGAAATATTGGATTTAATCAGTTTTTCCACCTTACACTTCATATTTTCTAAAACTTCTTTTTCATTTTTAAATGCAAATAATGCATAATGTTTAACCATAATTGATGACCAGAAAAGAGAAGTTGGTTTTCTTTTTTTTAAATATTATATATTTTTCAACTTTTTTAAGAAATAATCTGTATTCATTGTTAAAGTTTATTATATCAACGAACTGAAAAATATTAAAATGTGAAGTATTCATATTAATATGTTTTACTGTTGTAAATTAAGAATGTTCTGGACAATGCAATTAGTGTACCTGTACAAAAACTCTCGCATCAGATGTTTATCCTTCTCCTCTCAAATATATTATTATCAAGAAAGTCTATTTAACAAACCTGGTGAAGCTCTACACTTCATGAATATGTTGAATTAAAAGTTTATTTGACAATTTCAGTTATTTATTATCTCAGCCTACTGGAAAACATCTCTTCGGTTAAGCAAGAAATCAGATCTAGATAAGATGTACATCATCATTCATTCAGAAGTTTATATGATAATATTTTCATCCAAGAAAATCATTAAATTTATCAAAGAGTTTCTTTCTATACTTATCTGAGGTGCCTAAGAGTTCTCAAAACCATTCTTCTTTGTTTACCTTTTCAATAAATTTTTAGTTTTTAGTATGATGTAATAAATAGCAATATTTTAATTTTTAAAACCCTGTATGATATGTGATAAGTATGGCATGACAACTATGGAGATTTTTGGCAATAATTACTATTTATCTTGAAAACAGTTCATTTTAGAGCTTTAGAACTCAATGGCCAATACTTTTCAAAGGAATTTTATTGGATCTTGATATATGCATTAAAATCTTTGAATAATAATTTTTCCTTTCTCAATCTGCCTGCTTACCAACATCGGAGTTTGGGATCATACTTTTTTAATGACTTATTAATGTTGTGGTACAAATTTAAAGATCGAAATTATCTTGCTTTTGACGCCTTGTATCTCAAAATCCATCAATCTGAGAATTGGAAAAGCAATCTACACTACTCTGTTCAATATTTATGGGAGGTTATATTATAAGAGAAACCTTTTTTGGTTAATTCCTCTTATGATTAAGTTCGGATTTAAGATTATAAATTAATTCTTATAAATTAACAATATTTCCAGAGCTTAGGAGTGGTGCTGTACGTCCTGGTGTGTGGTTCTCTTCCTTTCGATGGGCAAACCTTAATTGCATTGAAGAATAAAGTTATTTCTGGGAAATTCAGAGTGCCATACTTCATGAGTGCTGGTAAATGTTTACTGTTATTTTTACCTCTTAATGTAAATGTATATTTTTTAATTTTGTTTTAAGAATTCAATATTTTTTTTTCTCCTTATACTTTAGGCTGTGAAAAACCAAACAAATAGGCAGAAATTTTTTTTAAATTTGATGATTATGTCTGGATTAATTGTTCATCAATTAATATAATTTATTATAAATTATTCTAAGAAAATATAAATCTTAAGATAAATTCATTTCACTTCATTGCAACCATGCTATTACAGTCAATCATTAACTAGTAACTGTTTGGTATTATTTCAGAATGTGAACAACTCATTAGGCAGATGCTGTTATTAGACCCTGAAAGGAGATACTCTATTAGACAAATAAGGGCTCATAAGTGGATGGCTCAGGTAAGAACTCAATAAAAGAGTCTTTTTTTATAGTTTGGCAAAATGCAGCACGATCACACTAAAACGTTAATTTCATCAAATCTATGGTTTTTAATAGACTTATGGGATTAATGGACTCATAGCTTTTGGGGTCATTCACTCGGTCCTCACCAAACAGCTCAAGTTTAAGCCTTACACACCTATCACACTGACACACAATCTGAAAGACTGTTTCATTCTAACCATGACAGAATCTACATAGTGGATCCCTACTCAGTCTGAGATCGTACATATGATAATTTAACTTAAATATTTAATAGTTGACCGTTGCATTATAAAGGAAGGAGGTGATCCGGGGTGGCGGTCATAAATAGGCTAAATAATAATCTTGTTGTGCTCAGCACTGGACTGCAGTATTTAACAACCCATGAATAAGTGTAGTGACTATTTAAAGCACCTATTGCAGCTTGACTATTGGTATAGATTATAATCCTTTTACCAGTCACTTGTTTATGCAATAGGTTTTGAGAACAATGGCAAATTTTCAGTAGTTCAGATTGAAATACTGAAGCATATTTGCCAAGGGAGATTGAGAGCCTGTCTGTGTCCCTCCTGTATAGGTATATTGGAACAGCTATTTATTTATTTGTTTAGCCTATATGTTGTTCTTAGGGCTTGAGCTTCAACCTTCAGCTGCAATGATGGCATGCCTAGCATTGCCTCCATGGCAGCCGTTAGAGTAGAGTTCATTGCACCCGTTATCATTAAACAGGCTAGTCTTTGTAACTTAGCAAGGTCTTGTTGAAACACCTTTTTCTTCATAGTGAAGATATAAACTTTGGCATTTTGTGGATTTATGCTTAGCCCATTGGAGCACCAAACCTTTCAAAATGTTCGTAACCATTTTTAGGAGATTAGAGAGTACACTCTGATATTTCTCTCCAATTAGGATATGGATATCATCAGCATATCCTTGAGTATAGATTCCAGCTGTTTAAAGGGCTTCTATCAAGGATTCAGCCACTAGACACCACAGTAAAGGAGATAGCACACCTCTGACACCTATCACTACTTCTACCCCACAGTTCAGCATGCCGTAGTTCTGTTTTAAGAGCCCTGTTGTCTAACATTCTCACAATCCATCTAGAGGACATAGGATGCACGTTCTGTTCTTTACCACAGCATTAATAATATCATAAGGGGTCCTATCGAAGACACCTTCAATTTCTTCAATTTTTTTTTTTTTTTTTTTTTTTTTTTTTTTTTTTTTTTTTTTTTTTTTTTTTTTTTTTTTTAAGCATAAGAGCAAGTATATATTCTGAATACAATTTTATTCGTTATAAAGATTAATTCTATTTTATCTCTGTTGAGGTTAAGTATTTTTTTCCTAGTAATTATTATTTGAGTTAGCTTATATTTCTAAAGTAATTCAATTGCCTTTACTGTCAATCCTATTTTATCTATTTTAATTTTTAAAAATAAGGTACCAATGGATCCACTGTTAGAAGTTGCTGAGAACCCTACGATTGATTTAGAACTACCAGAAATTAACCAGACAGTCGTAGAACACATGCTCCAATTGCCTGGATTGAACAGGGAAATGATAATAGAGGTAAAACTGTAATATATCTTAAGCTAAATTGAATATACTAGTGTTCGTCCAGCGGTCGAAATTCGACCATAACCATTAAAAATTTGAGGAAAACATATAATTAAATAAAAAATAACTTCAATAAATAAAGAGTAAATCACGATTCAAAAATCCTCACTTGATAATAAAAACAAAATTTAAATTTAAATTAAAAATCGAGCTTAAACTACTTAAAATTATTTATAAGTAATACAAAATAGACTCATTCAAAAATATTTAATTTCCATTTTAATTTATGTGTGCTATTATCACAATTCAGTTCAAAAATTTTTATGTAGAACTTCTCTGTAAACAATATTCATTTTGAATGTTCTGTTGTTGTTTAGTGCATAGCCTTGCCCATTGCCATTGGAAATATAAATTTTAAACGAACGTGCTCTACTTGCTGCCACATATAATTGTCCATGCGAAATTACTGGACGTCGCAATAATACACAAAATTTTCCAAAACTCTGACCCTGTGATTTGATCATGGTGATAGCAAATGCAGTAATTAATGAGAACGATGTTCTTTGAAATTCGAATGGAAGTATTGTGTCAGAAAATATCAAATTAATTCTTATAATTAAAATTCTTTTATTTAAAGTAGCTCCTGTTAGTACTTCACTCTCATTCGTGTTCCATTAACTAATGCTGGTACACAACTACGTATTTTACGTACTACGTATTTAAGTTAAGAATGAGTAGATATTTAGCTATAGAATTTACTTTCAAATTAATTTATGATGTAATGTTCCGCGAACATTCAATGATATCTTCTCTTCAAATAATAGTCCCGATTACTTCATTAAATGTAAAGTTTTTCGATTTATTAAAAACCAAAATAATGGTAATCATCTTTGCAAAAGAAAAAGCACTAAATGCTTAAAATGATATATCTCTGCAACAAACTGTCCAATTTCGATGATTTTTTTTTATTTTGCTGGGAATCCAGGAAGCTTTCAAATAAATATTGGTATCATCAATAAAAAAATGTTTATCTTTTGAATTCATCATAAAAATTAATGCAGCTGGTTTTCGGGAAAGTATGTTATATGCATAAATTATAAATGTTTCAAGGGGAAGACTTTAGCCTAACTTCATTAAAATTGTTGCAGCCGTATTGGTGCTACAGTCAAAAGTGAATCATGTTATTCGGCCGCCATTTCAAAAGGAAAAGCCTGATGATAATGAAAGATATAAAAAAACACTCCTAAATATTATTGCGTCGTGTCAAAATTTCAAAGAAATCGGTGAAGAACTTTCGGAGATTAGCTGCTGTTTTGAACAAACTACCATTTATAGTTTTATTTGCATACACTATTTTATATTTTTATTTATTAATAACTCTAAAGCTCGTCAATAGCTATTAAACAAAAAAGGAAGGAAGAAAATCGGTTAAATAGTAAAGGAGAAAAAGGGACTGAACCATTTTGTGTTTGTCTATTTATATAATGATATTTAAAGTTTTATTTAACAATGTTTTGTTTTTAGGCAGTCCAGGGTAACCATTTCGATCACATTAGTGCCATTTATCACCTATTTGTCGACAAGCTGGAAGGTAGAATATCATCAGTATCGACTTCACCTGTTCCTACTGCTGGCAATTCTTTATTACCACAACAACAGACCAGAAGAGCGAGTATTACGACTGGTAGGTTATTGTTGTTATTAAAGATTTTTTTTTTTAAACAGATGGTTATATTTTGTAAGTCTCTTTAAAAAGACTATATGTCAATAATTTAGAAATAAACCGAATTCTAAAGTGTAATGAATAAGAAACAAATGTTTGTTATTTTTACTTTCATTTACCTATATATAAAATGTATAATAAGGGAAACTATTGCAAGCATGAAAATTTTCGAATCTGAGTTTCAAACAAAAATACATGTTTTGAGGTCTCCTGAGTCCAAATAACCAAGTCCTGCAAAATGGTCTGTGTGTGTGTGTGTGTGTGTGTGTGTGTGTGTGTGTGTGTGTGTGTGTGTGTGTGTGTGTGTGTGTGTGTGTGTGTGTGTTTGTGTGCGTATGTGTGAACTGTCTAGCTCAAAAATGAAAAGTCGTATGAATCTGAGATCGCATGTTTAAGGTTTTTATATACCTGGGATGTTATACCGACTTTTTCTTTAAAATCGGCTTACCGTATAAGTGGCACTTTATATTAATAATTTTACACATTTTTCTCATATACGACTCTAACAATTTTGATTAAATTAACTATAAATTAATATTAACCAATTATTAATATAATGTATGTTTCATTCTCATTGATGTTCTCTAACAGGGCTTAAATGACTAATTTTCAATACTTCTTCCTTTCATTTTTTTATTTGAAATAATTAATAATTTCACAATTAAACATGATGTACAAAACAGTTAAATATAAAATATGATGAATTTGATGATTAACTATAGGAGAAATAAGAATTCATGAAGAAGAATAGTTATAATAGAGAGACCAAAAGAACTCTGTGATTAGCTCACCCAAAAGATTAGAACAGGCTTCCATACTCAACATGAGATTAATATATTACAGACTCTGACAATATTATATACATAAACATGGGATTTCCATTAATGCTATTGTTTGTATTATTTAATATTTAATTGTATAGATTACAGCGATGAATAAATTAAAATTTGTGTATATACCGATACTTAAACAAATAAAAATACCCATCCATAAAAAAAATAAATATAGCATCCTTATTTATTAGTGGCACTTTTGTCGCAATAAAAATATTTTGTGGCACTTAATTATTTACTATAATCAAACAAATAATTGAAATATACAGTTGTAAAAGGAAATAGATAGTCTCAAACAAAATAAATATAATACATTAGACGGCTATGAAAAAAATATGGTAGTTAATTGCTTTAAATCATGTTTCTTACCATCTATAATTTTTACTTTCACTTCCCTTTGTCTGAAAATACTTCTAAAGAAAATAGTTGTAAGTGAAAGTTGTGTGATATGTGCATCACACCAGATGCTTTTTTTTATATTATAAATCTCCTATCAGGTCATTGAAAACTAGATTGACTTCTTGGTGATCTAACGTTGAATTTTATTTTAAAGTTTAATAGGCTTTATAAGTTATATAATGGGAGATACAACCAATTGTATTCTAGAAGTAGGTCCTTTAAGAATAAAACAGTTAAAAATAAACAGAAAACATAATTGTTCAAAACATTATAAATATTATGGAAATGAAAAAATAAATTAATCAAAAGTAAAAGAAAGAGAGAGAAAAAAAATCCATATGTGCTTGTTTGTTACATGTGAAATATTTATAATACTATAAAAGAAGGCTTCATTTATTATTTCTTCACCATATTTATTTCAGTGTACATCAGCTACGTTTTGGCTAGTAAGCCATTTTCAAGCCATCTTTTACATATTTATCACTTAAATTAATAAAAGTTCGAACTACATCATTCTGTAGTCCACTAATAGTGTTTAATTGTTCTTTAAATAACTTCCAACTCTAATTTTAACTAACAAGCACATATGGATTTGAACATGACCAATCAGAGGCTGAATGGGTCAAAGATTAAGGAGAGTTGGAAGTTATTTAAAAAATAATTAAACACCGTTAGTGGATTACAGAATGATGTAGTTCGAACTTTAGTTAATTTAAGTGATAAATATGGAAAAAATGGCTTACTAGCTGAAACATAACTGATGTAGACTGAAATAGATATGATGAAGAAATAATAAAACTAAGCCTTATTTTATAGAAAGCAAAAAGAGAAAAATATTAATTAATCTCTAAAGTTAAAACTTATTAAAACTATTATTCACTCACTTCTCATCAATATTTTATTTTTAAAATAAAATTTTATGATTGGAGTGCGAGGATTTGAGAAGATAATGGAAATAGAGGGGTGAGGATAGGGAAAAAGCATGGCATATTTTAAAAGAGGGAATTCCAGAAGTTGATAGTTTAGCATAGAAAAAATTTGAAGAAGTATTGTTGAGGAGAGCAGAGTAGAAGCAACTTTAAAAATTCATAAATGTGAATAACATGAGATCACCTCGAGTTCCAAAGACCGATCTTTGAGAACAGCTAATAATTCTCTTCTATGTGCTCTTGATGAACACATTTCGGCAGCCACTGTGCACCAGACAGAAGTAATCAAAGAAAATAAGTGAAGATACAAGGAGCTTGCATATGGCTATATTGTGGGGTAGGGGAGAGGGTAGCAAAGCAAGCTAACACGTGTGCACAACATTGCACGTTGCCCAGCAACCAAAATTATAGATTATGAAACAATTACGAGTTCGCATTCCAGTGCCAATAGGGGAGAGGGAGCTTTTAACTATGGTATCAATCCTCCGCCCTTACCCCCTGGCCTGGGAAAACCCTCGTATAGCCTAAAAGGCGAGTAAAGGGAGAACAAAACCAAAAAAATTAATAAATTGTGGAAGAAGATTACAGGAACCGAGGAAATAACTGAATAACTTAAGTATACTTATCGACTTTCTGAAAATATGGATGATGTGGGATTTCCTAGACAAGTTTTGGTCAATATTATTGAAACTTATAGCAATGGGCCTGAGTTTTCATGGTGTTAAACCTTAATTTATTCAAGATAACTGAGGCTCTAATCTCATCTAGGCATTCCTGAATATAGGCAAACATAAAAAGTAACTTGGAAGGAAGAAGGGATAAATATATTTGGAATTGAGATATCTGGGAATTGAAAATGTGTGAGAAATGATTGAACCCTCTGCTCCTCAGAGGATAGGGTAAAAATAGTGATTTATACATAATAGAGTTCATATTCATTTTTTTTTCTTCACAATTTTAAGGTCTATTTATGTTAATTTCGCATTTAATTCAATATTTGAGTTTCTGGTAAGTTTTGAAATATTAAATAATTAAAAATTATTTTTTTTATGAAACCTAATTTAATTTTATTAATTTATGATCTACTTCTATCGTCATTAAATCTCACTTAAATAATTATTGTTTGAAAATAGAGTATAGTTTGAAAATATATTTTAAAATATTGAACTATTCTCAATATATCTTGGACAGACCCCTGTAATGAATATCTGCACTCACAATCTGGGTAGAATTCCACCATTGCTATCCTAATTACAGTACATGATTTTTTAAAATTAATTGATTAAATATTTAATTAAAATAAAAAAACATCAGAGGTTTTTTAGAGGAAGAAATTTTGAAAATTCACTATTTAAACCCAACCCCTCTGTCAGGTAGCATTGATGAAGACCTATCTTAAATTAATTTAAAACCACTTAGTAATACATCTACTTAATGGGTTTATTCAAAATTGTTTGAGCCATTCTCGAGAAAATTGTAAAAATGTGTAAAATCAACGATATAAAGAGGCACTTCCGGTTAGCCAATTTGGACAGAAAAGTTACTATAACATCCTAGCCATATACTAACCTTGAAAATGCTGTTTCGTGCAAATTTTCATTTTTGAGTTAGACTGTTCACAGACACAGATTCACTCACACGCATGCACACAGACCATTTTGAGAGGCTTGCTTATTTGTACTCAGGAGAACTCAAAACTCGTATTTACATTGGAAACAAGGATTTTAAAATTTTGATGATCGCAAGACTTTCCCTCACCATATATTTCATATATGGCTAAGTGATGATTAAAAAAAATAAATGTATAGTTTCTTAAAAAAATTTGTAAGTTATTCAAGATACATAATTTATATTCTGTGCATTCAATGTTTACTTTTACTTATTCTTCTTGTGTTTTCTCTTTTCAAAGGTGTTGTTGAGAGGCTAACTCCTGAGATTGAAACAATTCCAGCTGTTCATCTTATGCAGGATCCATTAATTCTAGAAAAGGTAATATAATGGAATGCATTTGTAGACAACTTTAAAAATTAGGTTTTCCGCCAATTTATTTCTTTAAATAAATCAATTAAAGTTAGGTGTAATGAAGTTTTAAGAAATACCTACTAAGTATATACCAGAGTTATAAATATGTTTGTTTTTCCTTCTTTTTTTAATCTCAATTAAAGTCTGTTTAATATAAATATTTAGTGATAAGATACAAGTTCTATAAAGATTTTAGCATTTTCTTTTCTAACTTACTGACAGCCTTTTTTTCTTTTTATTTATTTATTTTTTTTTTTGTGATTTTCTTTATTTTTTATTCAGGTATTATTTATGTTTTGATCTCAGTTCCATGGATGATATTTGATTTATACTTAAAGAATAAGTATCTTTTTACTTCTAAATCAACAAACTCAAAAAATATTTTCAGAGACTGATTCATTCATAAAGAAGATAGGTGAGGAGTGAGGTATAGACAAAAAAACTTAAGGAAGGCCCTCCTCAGATAGAGCTTAAGCTAGGAGATTTCACTTAAATCTTCTGAAATAGTCCATCTAGAATTTTTTTCTACATTTTTATTTTTTGTTTTATTGAAAGGGTCTCCAAGTTATTTTCCTATAGATACATAATCAGAATTTAGATTTTTTTTTTTTTAATGTATGCTGTTTCCACAATTTCAGATGAAAATTTTAAGAAACCTGTTCAAACTCAACAATTCTGAAGAATAATTTTTTTTCAGAGACCTTAATTTTTCTACATTATGTTGAAGTTTTTATTTTATGAAGAATATATATATATATATATATATATATATATATTATATATATATATATATATATATATATATATGTAATTTTATATAAATCATTTTTTTTTTTCAATAAGATAAAGAGAAATGTTATTTATGATTCAAAATAGTAAAGAAACTATTTATTTTAGTTTGGTGAAGCTGTAGAAGGAGAAGTAGAAGAAAGGCAGGAAGGCCAAAATGGAGATAAATACCACATGACAATGAGGAGGCACACAGTTGGACCTGGTGATCCAACTCATGAACAGGTATTAGCGATAGCTGATTATTTTATATAAAATATTTATAAAAACATGACTTATTTCAATTTTAAACTATCTGTTAAAAAATTATAATATTTATTTATAGTTACTTAGGCCAGCTAAGGACCACATCTTTATCATTTTTTGGCTTTCCTTTTTTCCCACATCTTCTCCCTCATTTTCTGTTTATTCTTTGATCTCTGTCTACTTTCTTCCTTTTTTTTACCTCCTTATTATAATTATTATGAAAACTTTAATACTTTAAAAGAAACTTTACTTAATCACAATCTTAGGCTAAAAAAATAAAAGACCAAAAATCATTGTTGAAGTGAGTTAAGAACAGTTCTCTATAAAGTATAAAAAATAAATACAGTCAAATATTTAGAAATATATAGATTATAGAAAATGTTTATTACTTATTTAGGCTTGCATAAATAGTCTTTAATAATCCTGGAGGTTTTCTTGAAGGAATTACTTTTGGGATGGAGTGTAGATCGTTGAATATTTGTGTTGATCTTTATTATTAAACAGAGTTATAGTGCTAAGAGAAGCTATGCTAGAGGTAAGAAAAAGAAAAGGGGGATACCTTTGAAAAAATCATTTTTCTTTTTTGTGAAGTTTTTTTTCTTCAATTAAGTCTTTATGAGTTATTTTCCTTTTTGTTGATATTGATGGTTACTGGTACTAAACTTTATAAATTATATCAATTTTGCAACATTGTCTGTTGTAGGTGTTGGAAGCTCATTATGAATATATGAAACAAGGTGCAGGACAGCCACTCCATATATTCCCTGACTCTAATCTTCCTCAAAACTTGCCGCTTGTCCAATATCAGCCTCCCCATAACTTCACTGTCAAGGATCAACACCTGCTAAAACCGCCGCCCGTGATGGGTGCCGGTAAGAAATTATCTAAACAATATATATACAGGGTGCTTCAGTTCTTAATGGCCACACTCAAACGAGTGATTCTAGAAAAAAAAAAAAGTTCATTTGATGTACCCATAATTCCAAATGGAAAAGGAGTTAAGACCAATTTTGTTTTTCTTAAGGGGGTCATGTTTTTTATTGAATAAGAAGGAATTGCTCAAAAGCTCTTCAAGATAACTAAATTATAAGTATACTATCTTAAAGTAGCCAAATTTTCTTTGAGAAAATAGTGATTATATTTACTAGAGTTAATGATAAAAGGGACTTTTAGTCGGTGTAATAACGCAAATCCTATCATCATGCTGAATTATTTCACGAATTGGAAATACAGAGATTTTTTTTTTTTTTTTTTTTGTTCTTCCCTACCTCGCCTTTTAGGCTATACGGGATTTTCCCGGGCCGGGGGGTGAGGGCGGGGAATTTAAAATCCCCTCCGGCACCGGGACGCGAACTCATACTTTTTATATCATCTCAAATCTCTGTTATCCGGTTGCTAGGCAACTAGCGGTGCTGTTACACACGCTTTAGCCTATTCGGCCACCCCGCCCCTGAAATACAGAGATATGCCGCACATGTATGGATACTGTAACTGCAGCAGTACAGCGTCCGTATTAGGTGTCCTGAAAGTCCCTCCCCTCTTCCCTCCCTCCCCCATGCATCAAATGAACTTTTTTGTTAGAAATTTTGTTTAGAATCATCCTTTATATCAGTGTTCCAATTGTATATTTTATTATTCTAAGCTATAGAATTTTCATAATCAATTTTTAATAATTTAATGTATTATTGAATTGTATTGTTATATTATACAGTTGATACTAATTTTTTTTATTTTTATAACTATGGATAAAGTTAGTGTCAAATATTAAAGCTCCTTTATAATTTAGTTGGTGGCTTCGGAAGGAGAGCATCAGATGGAGGGAGCCATTTTCACAGTTACTCAAACAGAGCTGTTAGTGAACCTGGGAGCCAAGAAGAACTTCAACTAGTAAGGCACACTATATTTTTATTTTAAGTTTTTCTAAACAAATTACATTGAATACAGACTATGTAATGACTTATACTACTTTGAACCATATTACGGACATGCTTCCTCTACATTTTATTAGCTTGTTATGTGAATATAAACAGATAGTTACGGTGATTTTTTTTATTCTGGTATGTTTTTCAAATGTAAGTCCAAAAATAAATTATTCTGGGAATAAAAAAAAAAAAATGTATTTATTGGTCTTTGAAAAATGTAAGTGAAATAATTTAATGTAAAAATGATAATGTGTATAGTAGTAATCTGCTCCTGTTTATTAGCCTTGATTTTATATTTTAAAATCATGTTGGTCTATCATAATTTTTTGCCCAATTTGGGGTTTTCTGTCTTAAAATTTTGTATACATATTTACTACATGGAAATAATAACTAATAGAAATATTTTTATGATTAAGTTGGAAGGATGAAAGAAGAATACAAATATTGAAAGTGCAATATTTATTTGCTAGTACTTACCAACAAAGTATTTTAATTTTAATAAATAATACACAATATATTACCAATTTTATTTTGAAGAATAGATAAGCTAAATAAATATTAAAAAATCAATGAAAATTGAAATACTCATTGACCTCCGAAATGTGTCACTTTTTAAAAGTTTTTGTCTCACTTTCTGAGTATCAATATTGTGTGGTGTACCATCAGTCTCCTCTTCCTAACATTCCCATTCTAGTTTATTTTGTGCTCGGTGATTACAACATGAGATAAAAGAACAAAATTATTATATGATAAGAGCTTTTTTAATAATGTTATTAGGAGTAAAAAAAATCACCAAAATTATACTTTTCATATATTTCTATTGAAGTAATAAAATAATCAAACCTAGCGTACTACTGAATAATATGTTTTTTATATTTGTACATACAGTGCAGTTCCTAAAGCAACTGCATATTTTTTCAGTTACAACCAGGAAGCCCTGGTTTAGCACAAAGATCACAACCTATAAGTGCCACTAATCTTGAAAGTCCAGTGGAACAGCCTGTACCTATGATCAATGAAGAACTATCACCAGATGTATATGCTGTGTCTAGGTAATAATGAAATGATATTTTCCTTCAAAAATTCTTAAAATTATGCTAAATATAAATTTCTCAAAAGTTGTTTGGGTAGGTGATGATTTATGTAAATTTTTATGTGTGTGAGTTTACCAAGTGTGACAGTTAATAATTCTTAAATTTTCCTTTAAAAAAAAAATTACTATTTACTACTATAAAATTACTTTTCCGGGCCTTGTAGCCCATTTTGGTCACTTTTCGATCAATGCATGGTTCAAACTGATTAGTGATAGTCAACAGTATCAACTATTTTGTCTGGTATAAGAAGCTAATGTTACACCATATCCATCTGATCCCACCAAATGCACAGCATTGTCTCTTCTCCAAATTGATTTGGTCATGCAGTCGATGCTGATGATTTTCTTGGGTCAGCTCATGATGTTCTGAGTTTTGGGTTCTTGAAATATATCCATTTTTTAAATCCAATCACAATCTGATACAAAAAAGTATTTTTTTTTTATGCTTAGAAAGCAATACTTGGCAAACTGTTTATCACTTTTTCATCTGCTTATCATTCAACTAATTTGGTACCAATTTTTCTGCTTTCTGAATCTCCCCTATGGCATCCTGATAATCACAATTTGTTGACCAACATTTAACCTTTCTTCTATTTATTGTTGAATTTATGTATCATGTCCGTCCAACAAGGCTTGCAATTCAGCGTCTTAAAATTTTCCTAGTTGACCTGAACATTCTTAGTATTTCAAATCAAAATTATCAGTTTTGAAACATTTAAACCAACAAACACAAGGATCTTGCATTAGGACAATTAGGACATAGTCATCGTAAGTTTCCAGAAGTATATGATGGCTTTCACCAGTGTTTTTCTTTTAATTTAACAAGAAATGCATTAAATGCCACAAAACCTCCTTATTTGGCTTTAAACTTGACATGTTTACCTCACACACACTCAACTAAGCTAACCGGAAATTCAAACTTTAGTTTATTTGTAACATTTATGTAAAGTTTATTAAGTTCTGTCTATACTAAGATTGAAAAAAATTCTTTTTTATTTTCAATTTCAAAAAGTTAAATAATAATTTATAATGGAAATATAGTTTATCTTAGATGTAGTTAAAGAATTATTAGGAGTTCTTTTAGGAAAGAAACATATTAGGATTTTATTAGTTGTAATTTAGCTGGAATGAAAAAGTTGTAGTCCATCATCAAGGTTGACTCGATGAGAGAATATGAACAAGCGATTCAAGGATATGTCTCATTCCCATTCTCTCATCTAGCCTTCTTGAAGATCTTTAGGACTTAGACCCAACTTAAAACTTAGGTCAGCATACAGTAAAGCAGTTAGGAACTGAATGTTTTTTTTTTCAGATCTCATCCTCATCCATCTTCTCCTTGGTTATAATAATAAAAGACTGAATGAATCTGAATTTGATCTTGATACCACCATTTTCTGTTTAAACCACATACATATGATTACATTCTAGTGCTAAAAAATCAAAGAAAATGAGAAAAAAAATTAAAAAGATCAAAAATGAGGAACTTTCCCAAAAAATGGAAAAAATCTATATTTAGGCTGATTCACAAAAAGAAACTGATTTCTAAGTGTAATAGCTATTGAAGAATTTTATTCCTTCCGGTCGAATCACAGAATATGCCAAGGAAATCATCTGTGACTTTCATTGTGATTTTAGATGGAATCATTAAACTATTGATTAAATATTTTCTCTTTGGTTAAAAAACATTTATTCTGTGGCTAATTAAAGTCTTTGCATCCAAAAAACCTTATCTTTCCAGGAAGCATTAAAAATAATTCATATATATTTTATGTGATCTCTTGTCATTATATTTTTTAATAATGTTGTAATGTCAACCTTTGCTATTCAGATATATGGAAACGAGGGGATGTGTCAAGCGTCACACTGTAGCTACTGGTCCTGAAGAGGGCCATAGACTTCAAACCGTGCCTCCTCAAGGAAGAACAAGAAGATCTGGTTTACCAACTGTTACAGAAAGACCTCCAGGTAACAGGGTACCTTTGATGAAGTATCAATTGAGAAGTCAGCTAAAACCTCAGTGAAATAAAGAAGCTAGTCAAAACCAAATGATTAGTTGAGATGTAAAGTTTAGTTCTGTGAAATTTTTCCAGAACGATATTGTTGTAAAGGTAACATCTTAGTTTGACTTTGATGTTCAATCATTTTGATGCCCTTGACTTCATTTTTATTCTATGCACCATATCCATTAATTAAAAAAATAACTGAATTCTTCAGTAATCCATTACCTAGACCTGGTGGTATGTGTAACCTCTATTACTCTTTCAATTGCTGTATAATAGATGTAAATTTAGATGTGTCACATAAAAATGGGCAGTTCACATTCCTTATCTTTTTCCAATAGTTAGTTTCCAACTATGGTGTAACCACAAGGGGGGTAAAACATTTAGTCAATCCGTTTGAAGGTATGTAACGATTTTTTATACTTAAGTACGTTAGGCAGGTTTTTGGTTAAGCTGATGTCTTTGAACACTGCGACGTGAACTATAGAAGTTGACAATATTAATAAAGATAATGGGGCTGTCAGAATTTGCAGTGTTTTCCAAGTTACCTTGAATCCTGTCCTTTAGGACAGGAATTACTGATTACCAACTTTTGACAATTATCTTTAAAATTATACAATAGCAGCTCAATTTATGGCCATTGACAAGAGGAATACTTATCATCAGATAGAGGCTGAAGAACAAAATAAGGATTATCTGACTGTTGCCACACAAGTGGGTTACTTTAGGTATTGGTAGTTATACTTTGGATTAAAAACAACTTGAATTAAAATGTTATTGGAGATTCTTGATGTTTCAGTTTTGTTAAACAACATATCACTCAACTGTTGATCAGAATACTGCACGGAACTTTTAGTATTTGACCAGTATAATTGAAAATATTTTTGTATATAAAGTGGATATGAAATTATAGGAGACTATGTAATGCAAATCCTCCCACAAGTTAATAAATACATTTTTCACACACACACACTGGCGGCCACTGGAGTGTTTACTGTCCTCATTTGAAGCCCTACTATTTGGCCACTTGACTGGCCAACACTAATGGCCCCATGTTCAGGCATCTTTATACTCTGGCAATCATAAAATCTATTGGTTCTGAATAATAAAAATTATATCCACCTCATTATCTTTGTTATTAAATCTTTATTATTGATAGCCATAAGCCCAAATTCCATCTTTTATAAATTGTTTTTTTAAATATAATTTTTGTTTTTACTTCAGGAATTATAACTTTTTGTTTATTTTAAATTTTTTTCTAATTTATATGTTGAATCAAGTAAGATGCTATGATAAGTTGCATTTTTTCCTTCCCACCTAAACACCACCAGGTTATCTTTTAAAATTGATCTCACAATGAACTTCTTTACTTTTTTTTTCTCTCTGCTAATTAAAGTCAGGTTTTATTTATCATAAGATTACCAGACTTTTACTCATCTCAACTATTTTAAAATAATGTTTATATTTATAGTATTCAAAGATTACTTTGTTTATCAATATGTAATGAAGTAAAAAATGTTTAAATGTCTTTTATTGAAATGAAATCTAAAAATTCTGAAATAGTAGCTGACTTCTTTTGTTTTGTCTCCTATAACATAGCATGATGTTTTGCATGACTCTCCAAACATTATTTGCAAATCACACATTTTCATTTAGCAATTGAAATCACCCAGTGGTAACATTTGATTTGTTTGTGTGTTTGGCTTTTTGTTATAATAATAGTGTTTGTATTTTATTAGTCATTATTTATTTAATTTTTCCCTTCATATGTTGTTTCACTTATTCTTGCCTGGCACCAATTCCTTCAAAGTAAAAATTAATTTTGTTTTGTAAACTTTTTTTTTTAATCAAAAAGCTTTATTGTTTAGAAGAAGCTTGATCACACTAGATATGTAGGTAGCTGTGTTATTTATTCTTTACTTTAAGTTACATTTACATCATTAGATTTTACTCCTTTATCAATGGAACATTTGTTTATTCTGAAATTTAATGAGATCATAATTATATTTTTTAAATTTAAAACGCCATTGTGATATTTTTAGTTATTATATAAAAGATAGTTATTAAATAAAAGTTCACTCTCCTTAAATTGCAAGCAAAATGGCTGATCATTGTATGTATTAAACCTGTACCACTACAACTAATGAAGGGTCTTGGGTGCAGAACTATGTGAGGGAGTACTGTTTCAAGGCCAACGGTTGTGCAGAGAGGTGATGGGGCCGATATCACGCTGAACCGTCAGGTTTTCCCTCTTAATTATTTTTTTAATTATGAGTACCCACTTTATAGAGGCTAAGTGTGCCCCAGGAGGGTCTCCCTATCCCAGGGTCGATCCACAGGACTAATGAAAAATTAGTAGTCATTAGTTGGATTTGGAACCCATGACCTTGAACTCTGGAAGTCAGTGCTCACCCACTGAGCTACCCCGCTCCAATTGTATGTATTGTTTTATTTACTCAATTTTTTCTGTCTGTTTTGACAGATCTATCTTTGAATATAATAGATGAAAATCTAAAAAATTTAGTATGTTATAGTTGTGCACTTATCATTTATCTTCTTTTTTTACTATCCATCATACTTTTCAGTTGGGATGGGAGAAGTAATCCAATGTTTGCTAGTTTTCTTTGTTCCAAGTGCTTCATTGCTGTTACTTTCCGGGTCTCTCTTTGTCCTGATCTGTTTGGTGAAGGAATGTTATCCTATACTGATCTGTTTTTGTGGTTGTCTTCCCACTGTTGGATATTCAAATGTCTTGAAATCTTTATAACTTTTTATTCGGTATAAAGGTACATGTCATTTTGTCTGGGTTTTCCTTATATCTGTGAGTCTTTTGGTATTGTCTCATTGTATTATCATAAATTTATCTGTGAAATCCCAACTCTCTGCTCCAGGCAGAGTTCCAGAAAACTAAGAAACTGATGAAGACGTCAAATTCTAATATTTGCCAACTTCTCTCTAGCTATTACCAAAATGCATAATTGGTGAAATAATCAATTTTTCTTTTGGAGCCTATTTTAATTATTAGTCCTAATTAAACATTTTAAGAAACTACCTACTCCAGATTATGTTTCATCTGTGAGTATTTTCCTCTATTGTAAAGAAAATTTTGAACTTTGATTTTGATTCTGTATGCGCGTGATGTCATAAACATAAAGGAAGAACTTTAAATATTGCTGCATAATTTTACAGTTGTATTAAAAGTGTTCCATTTATATTTTGCAAGGTGAAATTTCACCGATATATTTCTTCCTTTATATTTGAAAACATATTAAATTTGAATCTGCAATTTTTAGGCTAATATCGACTATTAAGTTCATTGCATAGTAACATACTCACATAAACATAGTAAAACTACTCATCATTGTTTTTATATTATTTATGGTTTTCTTATAATGTTCCTTGATAATGTAATTAAGGACTATTGGTGATGTAAATGGAACTTAATAATCGCTGATTGCATTCATTTACTTTTATTTATTTTCATTTGTAATATTCATATTCCATTGCTTAATTAGAAAGTGTAAATCATTTAGAAGTATTATTTTGATTTCAAAAAGTATTGATGAACTGAGCTTGGGAATATAATGTAAAGCTGTAATGGAAGGGAGGGCCAGGCAAGATGAAGTAGATTCTGAATGTGCGCGTTTGGGTAGAGATTAGTCCAGAAGTACGGAGGGAAGTGGAGGCACGGATGTCGCGAAGGTACCTGCCTCAGATGAGTCCCCAGAGCCCCGCCCAGAAGAACAGACTTTGGAAGCACCACTTTTTACCACCTCTCCAGGAGACTCAAAGGCTACAACCAGGTAGGTGTAATACTTTCTTGTTTTAATTAGTCTATACGTCTTTTTTGTTTTTTCAAAGAAAAATTCAATTCCATCAACATTTGAAAAAATTTATTGTAGCAATCCATCATTATTTTAGGATGATTTTTTTCATTGACTGCCATGTCTCATTGTAGTTGGTAAATAATTTATCCTCACAAACTCCTGGTAAATGTGTAATTTCAGTTGCCTTTATGCTTCCTGTTAGTAAAAAAAAAACTCTTTAAAAATTGATTTGCATATATGTATGTGTTTTTTGTCCTTTTCCATGGCTTAACATATTTTTATAGAATATAAATTAAGGCTTGTTTTGACTTGTTTTCTCTCACTTCTGTTTAAATGAAAACTTCTAATAGGATTTATTCAAAGAAAAAATTAATTTCATACGCATATCACATCAACAAATGGATGTTTATAATAATAAACCATTATTATTATAAGATGATTTTTTAAAATTTAGTTTAGTCACCAGTATAAAATGTGGACTGCATACTAGGACCATTACTTCAATATCTTCAATATCAAGCATATCAGAGCATGACCAAACTTCATTGGTTGCTTTTGATGAAAAAATGTTCTCCTCACATCCCACAAAAATTATGTATTTACATATTTTACCCTATTAACCTAACTACACAATATTTTTAGTTTGGCTACTTTGTTGAAAGAAATAATGAACAAAATAAAGAGTGTGTTCAGATATTCTCAGAGAATTCCAAAAGTTTCACCCATCTCAAATTGACTTAGGCCATGAACCCATTAACACAAATACTTAGATCCAACACAAATCCAGCCCAAAAACTTCGTGGTCGTCAAGAGATTTACTAAATTAACCATAATTTGAATATGAGCTCTGATTTGCTTATAAAAATAATTCCAAAAACACTTTGGAGATGGCTAGTTGCTTTCCTGTTGAGTTTCTATTAAATCATCATATAACAGATACATTGGTGAGTTGTTACTTGATATTGAAATTATTATAGTTAGAAATAAATCCTGACATATTGTTATGAAAAATAATATACAATTTAAAAGTATAAATTATTGTTATGCCACAATAAATTTTTATACAAAAATTCTTCCAATCCAGATATATGTTGAAAGCCCCTAATCTTATTAATACCTTGTTTAGATACAACAAGTAAATGTTATAATTTAGTCGTTCATATGATGAAATCAATTGGATATCTGTATCTTAAAATCCATTTGATACCTTGAATATTTTTTTAAATTTAGAATGAATCCGATTTTTTGTTTTCAGTTGTCATAAATAAATAATGTCTTGTGTAGATGTCCTAAGTTGTTTTCTACAATTACTAAATTATCTGATTTATTTCAGTGGTGGAAGTGGTATTGTTATTATGTTGAAATGGTATGATTACTATGTTATCTGGTTTATTCCAACTGTCAAAAAAATAATAAAAGTCAGGAGGAAGGCATTAGCCCTACAAGAGTGGTTTACCTTCCCATTATAATTGATCCAACCATGTCTTAATATTATCGGCAGTAGAAAATTGGTTAACAAAAGACTCTTAACAAATATTGAACCTTTCAGAAGTCATCAAACTAAGATTTTCTTGTTATAAAGCGTGCCTTATGTGTAGGTTATGGAATTAAGAAAATGTAGTAACTAACGTCCAAAAGTTAATGTTTTTTAAATTGCTGAATTAAATTATGTTATGTCCTGCTATAGTTATAATTTTTAAAAAATAGTAAATACATTTTTAATTCCATTATAAAAATTTTAATTTTTTTTCTAATTTTGTGTGTGTTAATGAAAATCTCCCCTTTCTGACTGATTCCATGCAGCCAGCTTTATTGGATTGTCTCCGCAGTATACCAGGTTTTGTATATAAATTTAGGTTTTGTGATGTTGATTTTTCCTTGTGTGCTTTTGCTATGGAAAAATAGTCACTGGTGGTTGAAAAAAATAAAATTAAAATTATAACTGTCGTTTAGCTTATTGGTGGTGCCTTGCATGCCTAGTTGTATTTTTGTATTCTAGATGTGTATATTTGGTCCTCACAATTATTATTCTGCACCATTTTATGTTTGTTTTTGTTTTTAATTTTAATGCACTATTAATAAAATATTTAGTGAATTGCAAAATTATGTATGAGTTCCAAAATTTATCTCTATTAGGTGGAAGGGACAGCTTGAAAGAAATATCACATCATTTTCCTGGTGGTAGCGAACGATATTCTCCCGTAAGGCGTGCCAGTGAAGGTGCAAACCATTTTTGTTCTGAGCAATCTTCTGTTAGAGCACTTCAACTGGAACACCAACAGTTGAAGGTAAAGTATATATTGTATTTAATTTTTTCATAAGTATTAAGGTAGATGCTTTTTATCTGAGGTATATAAATAATAATTATGGAACAGCTTTACTCTCCCAAAAATATTTTGTTTATTTTTATGACGTTTCGGGATCACTTTATTATCCCATCTTCAGACTAGAAATTAGAAAACATTTTTGTTATTTGTATTTTTATATTATCATTACAAAAGGTAATAGGAGAAAAGAAGAAACTCTGGAAAGAATATCTCAAGCACAAAACACCGGAGCACTTCGAAAAGTACAAGCGGAAAAGGGCAGAAATTTCACCTGGGATATAGCAATCTAATATCAATGAGCCTCTCAATACTTGCGTTCGCTGATGACGTTATTTTTTTCGGACAATGACAGGAATCTTCAGTACAATATTAATAAATTAAAAGAAGAATTGCGGAAGATTAATATAATTATTAACCCTGTAAAAACAAAAGTAATGAGGGTTGGGAAGAAGCCTAGGAGAAATATGCGCATGCTTCATCAGAGTCGAAGACAAAATCCTCGAACAGGTAGGAAACTTAATATACCTGGGCGCACACCTTAATGAAAATGGATACATTGATTCAGAGGTAACTGAGCGAATCGTTGCTGCGATCAGGATGTTTGAAGCAGTTAAGAAAGGTTTTCTAAACTGGAGTGAGGTGGAAAAGAAAACAAATGTGGCTGTTTTAAGATCAACATTTCTTCCTATTTTAACGTACTCTTCAGAATCATGGACCCTGACAAAGAAACATCGATCAAGGAAACAACGGGTCAGAAATACGATTCCTCCAAAAGATTGAGAGGAAAACGAGAAGAGACTGAGTATGCAACACCACCATCAGGTTCGAACCTCAATATTAAGCCGGCCAATGAAGTGTTAGAAGAGAATCGACTGAGATGGCTAGGACATCTTCTGTGGATGGAACCAAATAGAATAGCTAGCGAAGCCTATCAAGCTTAAGCAGAGGGTAAGAGAGAAATAGGATAGCCTAGAAGAAAATGGGAAGATAAGGTGAAGAGCGACTTCCAGAGAAGAGGTCTTCAATGGAACGATAGGTGTCTTGTGGAAGACCGGCAGAGCTAGAGAAGGCTCTATATACTTCCTCCTCACACTACTTAATGCGCTTCAAGAGGATGGATTTTGATGATGATATTTTCATTACAGTATGAAATAATAAAATAATAAATATATATAAATAAATAAAATAAAAAAAATATTGTAATGATAATATAAAAATAAATATAACAAAAATGTTTTCTAATTTCTAGTCTGAAGATGGTATTATAAAGTGATTCAGAAGCATCATAAAACAAATTTTTAAAAATGGTTGGGAGAGCAAAGCTGTTACTTAATTTTTATTTATATTGTATTTAATTTATGCTGGTGAAAAAATATTTTACTATAGATAATTGGTTGGAAAGTTAGTTTTTAGGTTACAGTCACTAGGAGAAGCACAAATAAAAATAAAATTATTTTTCATGTTTTTATTTGTTTCTTGCTGTAACTGCCACCCCCAACTATTTTTATTTTCCTATGACAAATAATTGTTATTATTGACTTCAACTATTTCTAGTGCTAGAATCATTACTAGAAAAAATAATTTTTACTTTAAGGTACTTTGATGATTTATCCTCATACACCAGCCTGGGACAAAATGTGTATATGCTCGGGGGTGTCAACCTAGAAATGGATGCCTGCCACTTATTGGGAATTAAAAAAAAAAAGAATTATAAAGTGAATGATAATAATTAATTTTGGTCTACTAATAAAGTAACTGAATTAGAGACGTATTGAATTAAATATAATTCAAATATTCTTCTTCTTCAATGGGTGCTACAGTCTTTGTAGGACCTGGGCCTCTGCCACCACTTTTCTCCACTTCTCGTGGGCTCTCCTATTGTCCTTGGTCATAGTCCATGTCAATACTTTCCCTTACTTTTTATTATTTTCTTTTTAATGTAAATAGTTTCTCATTCCCATTTTTATCTGGGTTTTTTTTCTTAGCCCTGATGAAGGCCTGAACTTTGGGCTGAAACATTGGCAAAAATAAAAAAAATATTATTTATTTATTTTTACATTTTTTTCACTGAACAGCCTAACCAAGCTTCTCTTCAATCGAACAAAAGAAATTTTCAAATTGTAATCTTAAGAATATAATATGGCTGTTTAATTAATGTAGTTATACACTATACTATATGGTTTATAAACTGTTTTTTCTTGTATATATATTTTTTTCTATATTAATCTACTAGCTTTATTACTGTCTTGAAATTTTGGCTTAACATTTCATTTAAATACGCACGTGGTTTAATATATCTACTATTATAAAATATAAGGTGAAACTATATGTATTTATTAAAAACGCATCATTAGTTGGATGTAAAAGCAACACATGCTGTTCAAAATATTTTGCGATACCATTTCAATGGTAAAGATTTTCAAATATCAAATGTGGCAATGCATTGAAATTGCGCTATACCATTTACCATAGCTTTAATGTTAAATAAAATAATTTATTAAAAAATAAAATGAACTGAAATCAATTAAAAAATTATTTCTAAAAGGAACATGAACGATGATAATTATTACTCAATGGTTAAATATTTTTAAATAATAGCATATCAAATATTTGAGATGTATCATATTACTTCCCGAATACATTGGGAGAAAAATAAAAAATGAATATAAAGAATATCACTTCTTCAAAAGAAGAAGCCAATATCACTTCTTCGAAAGAAGCCAATATCACTTCTTCAAGTGATAATCTCAATTACTGCAATAATTAAAAAAATGTCGGTTAATCAATAACCAAACAAAAAAGGAAAATGGCCTTTGCCGAAGAAATATAGTAAATGTTTAAAACTCTATAACTCTGCACCGAATCGTCCGATTTTGATGATTTATAATTTTATTTTGTAGAGAATTCAGAAAACTTTTTAAAAAATATGGTTATTATCTATAAAAAATTGTGTACTTTTTGAGTTATTGGCAAATATAATTCTGAATTCATCATCACATTTTTTGCAGCTTGGTTTCAGGAAAGTATGTGATACACATAAATTTAAAGGGTTTCAAGGGAAAGACTTTAGCCAAGTTTCCTTAAAATCGTTCCAGCCATTTTGGCGTGACAGTCTATAGCAACATTTTTTTTACACATGGACGGATGTACTATGCCAGAAACTTTCGTGGGAGTGTATGCAACAACTTTCCAAACTTTTATAGCAATTGGATAAATGGTTCAGTAATGCATTAACGACAAACAGACAGACATACATTCATTTTTATACATATAGATAGATTAGAAATATAATTTAAAAAACAATTTTACAAAAATCTTTTATTCAAAAGTGAATCTAAGTCAAATTATGTTATTAATTAAATATTTATGTGATTTTTGGTGTTAACAAAGAAAACTGAACCTCTTTAAAGTAAGTCATAATTTATCCGCTACATTAAGTGGAGCAGAGCCACTGTTTAAGGTTCTTGCTGCGAGGTTCGAGGAGGTGATTGCTAGGATTGGTACTGTGAGACGTATTGGTGATTGCTAATTGATGGGATACATATTTCAGCTATGGTCTATTCTTGTAAGACTTGGAATTATGAAGTTCTCCAAAATCTTTTAGTTTAATATAAACAAGAAAATTTTTTGCATTCAAATTCCAACACTACAACTATTTACATTCCTTTGATAGTATTGTTTATAAATTTATGTATTCTAACAAAAATATGATACGTATGCATACATGCCTGTAGTCAGGTTTTTAATTCTTAATTCATAGTTAATTTAGCTTATTGAATTATTATCTATATAAATTTAGATTTAAATTTCTAAGCTTTTATGAAATTATAAAATTATGCCATAAATTATGCTGATTTTCATTACATACATATTTTTTATTGTTTTTCTGTCCGTTTTTTATTTGATCTTTTAAATATAAGATCAAGAGAAAAAAAAATCAAAATCATCAATTACAAATTAGTATTATTTTTCTTAATTTTATAGAAAACCAGTGTTAATGTCAGCGACAGCTCTGAACTACAGTACCGTCACTGCATTGATCTCCAACAGATGAGGGTTAGCCCGTCTCCTTCACCGCCTCAAGCTATTAGTGGAGGTGTTTCTCCTCTTACCCCCTCAGGTATGAATTGCATATCAATCAATCATTAAAATTTTATTAGAGGTTGTGTCGGCTATGCTTGTGAGGTGTCATCTTAGCATTATCGTGTTAGAAGCAGCACAGGTTCGAATCCAGCATAGGTAAGTTATAAAGTTATTTCATAGTGGATCTTCAGAATAAACTCAGCTTTTTCTCTCTGGTAAGAGTGGCCTGTAGGATATCATATTCTTCTTGTCCCAATTGAACTATATGAGGGCATTAAATCTAAATAAAATAATCCAATTTTATTTATTCTTATTCTTCAAACAGATTTTCGACTAATCTGTATTTTTCAGGTTCTCCAATTCATTACTCTGGAGTTCGATATTGTGATAACTCTGGAGGGTCGCTTTCTCAACACTTTCAAAGTCTTCAACTTCAGCAGTCTGACATGCTTGTTCCTAGTCATCCTACTGGTAATTCCCTCATGAGTTAAATATTTATAATAGTAAAGACAATTTTTTCTTATTTATTTTTTCATTTTGCAGGTTCAATAACTCAAGGTACAGCCAATACTTTTCAATTTACCAATCATAATGGCGGTAACCCTGTGCCTTTAGACCTGAGAGTAACTCCATCACCTCCTCTGACCAGGATTCAGGAAGAAGACTGGACTGGTTGGTAATTTTTTATGATTTTTTTTCACTATTTTAATTAGTATTTTATTTGGCAATTAATTTAACAGTCATTTCAACTTAATTACGGGTATCAGCATAAGGAAAAAGAAACCTCTCCTTTGGTTTCATTTCTTCTTCTTGGGGTCAGGAGACTTTACTTGGGCCCTCCCAGCCTCTCTATAAAGTGGTTACGAATAATTAAAAAAAAAAATTCATACAGAAACTTACCAATTATGAGAGTCAAGGTAGGGGAGAGGGAAGAATGCTAGCCAGTACTTTGATGATGAAAGCAAAGCAATTTTCAGTATTGATGAGAAGAATCAAGCTACAAAAAGTTGTTATGCTAACTAATTTGTAAATTGTCATAATTGCTATGTCTGACATTCCATGATCTTCCACAAATCATGTACATATATGTCATGAATTGATTGAAGAAATAGTTTTAGAAGTTACATATGTCATATTGCTATGGAGAACAGGACATTGTGGATTATCAAGTAGTGAAAAAGCAAATATTAATTAACAAAACATGGTGGCAGTAAAGATCAGTTCAATAAGCCAATACTTTTCTTGATTGCAAAAAGTTGATCAAAACATCTATCATCATAGACATGGAACAGAAAAATAACAGTCAGAGTTAATGGTGACTAAAGAGTTTATTGGCTACATTTCTTTATAAAAAGAGGTGAATGCCAGTACATCAATGAAGAATTGAAACCATTGCTTATTTTCTTATGAAAGTATGACTATCATCACAATCACCATATCAGAGTTGTTGAGTAAGCTACATCCCCTCTGTTTACACAAGGATATATAACAGCTCTGAACTATGACTTAAAAAACTAAGACTGAGGATGAAATATATTTAGCTGCTGGATGTCGCAAGGCATAGGTTAAAAAAAGTAGTAAGATTAGGAAAGGCGTGGTAGAGGGCGAATACGATCTGGGAGGGATGAAATTTATTTCATTTTGGACCCACAGATTAAATCTCAACCTTTCTAGTTTCTGATTGGAAAAGATTGGTTACATCATCGTCATAGGTAGGACAGATACATTAGGCAGTCCTTGGCTGAGATTCTTGCTCTTGACTTCTCAGTCTGCTGCTGGTCTCAGAGAAAATCTATTCACAATCTAATCTGCAGTCATGCTTTCTCTCCATCTTTCACATGATTTTTCCAAGAGCTCTCACTCTCTCTGTATGGAAAGAGTATAGCTTCTTTGCTCTCCTATAATTGTCCATCCTGACCAGATCTTGCAGCTATCTCAAATGTTGCCTTTTTTATAAAGTTTGAAATCCTCATTTCACTACTGTCTATCCCCTCTAATTGTGTCCAGGGTATTTCTTAATAATGTCCACTTGAAATGTCCATTCTCCTTGCTGCTGCCCCATGTAACACCCACGTCTTAAAAGCATAGGTCACTATCGGTCTTATTAATGTTGTATGTAACCTAAATTTTTTTTCCCCTCCAATTTTTGCCTATGCAGAGTTTTCCCCAGGCACCGGGATTCAAACACATGTTTGGTTTATCATGTTGTCAGGCAAAGCACATGCATTAGCCTGCTCAGCCACTCTGTTCCCCAACTTAAGTTTTGTTGTGCAACTGATCAGTCTAATTCTTAAGAAATGAGCAATAAAGTATGATGCATTACTGGTAACAACAAACTGAGCTTTGTTATTCTCCTCCTCATATAAAGACATTTTAGTTTGGATCCCTCATTATTAATAACTTGTGACATTTTGAAAGGGTTATTGCCAATCTTGTGCAGATTCTTTAGATGCACTAAGTTTTTTCTTCTCATTACTACTGTTTTTATCTTCTCTTCTCTGGATTTACTTGAAGTCCAAATGTCTGAGCTCTCTACTGGAACTTTTCAAATGCATGTTCAACACCCTGGAGAGACTAAAGAAATATTTACCCATAGATTAAAAATAATTATGTAACATAGAGTCCAAAGAATGATTTAATAACATTCATGCAGTATTTTATCAGATTAAAATTATTTGAGAAAGTTGAACTAGTTTAAAAAAAAAAAAATTTAAAAGATGAGTTAATGGCACTCATAGACAAAAATGAATAAAATATTAAGTAAAAAAGTAATTTAAAATATTAAAAACTAATAAACTATGACTAAATGTTAACATGCATTGTATCAATATCCCTTTCCCTGAAGTATTAAAACAATGTTACACTGAGGTTCGAAAATCTAGGTTGTTGTCATATAGTCTATGGGCCAGACCCCCCTACCGTGCATCTCTCTCCCTCCCCCCTCCCTGCCCATATCCCTATAAATTGCATATTTTTGTGTTCCTTGTATCTATTTATTAAAAAAAAGCCGATGTTCCCGCAAAAAAAAGTGAACGAACTGCCCCAAAATGCCATCTAAACATGGCGGACTGACGACTTTGACTTTATTTAGTTTTTTGGTCACTGAGAATCAGCATTTGGCTTAATATTGTGATAATTGGTCTTTTATTAAAGCTGGTTAGTCACAGAATAATAAAACATGAAAAAATATTATAAAATAATAGGCAATGAAACACACCAGTGAAGTCAATTTTTTTCAACAAAAAAATTTATAAGTTACCTACCTATACATCTGTTGCCTATGTACGCACAAAACAGTACGAAGCAGTTCAGGTATTAATGTGACTCATTTTTGGAGAAGTATATACAATTTAAATTACCTCTAAGAATCAGTAAATAAACAAAACAAAGTGTTGAATTGCAAATGTTAAATAAAAAATTCAAGATATTCAGCAAAGTATTTCTGTAGTAAGTATTGTTATTATAATTATATCATTTTTACAGTAGAGGCCTTCTTAAACGACCTCCATATAGAATAAAGGAAGTTAAATTAAAAAATAATAATAATAATAAATTTTAAAAAATTGATTACGTTTTTTTTGGACAATTAAATTATTGCATTAATATTTGTTTGTTAATACAATCAATATAATGTACCAAAAATTTTATTATACCACTATAACTAAGCCCTTTATGAGTACTGAATGATGTGCTAGAGGCCTGAAGGCACCTACGCCAGTACCATTTTTCTGCCACTTAAGTGCATTTTATACTCAACTGCTTAAAATATTTTAAAAAGTAATCAGTGTTTTGGAAAGAGAAATATATTCTCCAGATGTTTTATTTTAGCAGGTTTTGCATTATTCGGTAGGCTGTTTAATTATAAACGACTCTTGAGTTTCAACTTATAAATTTTTTTGTTAAAAAAAATTGACTTCACTGGTGTTTTTCATTGCATAAGCCAATTATTTTATAATATTTTTCATGTTTTATTATTCTGTGACTAACCAGCTTTAATAAAAGACCAATTATCATAATATTAAGCCAAATGCTGATTCTCAGTGACCAAAAAACTAAATAAAGTCAAAGTCGTCAGTCCGCCGTGTTTAGATGGCATTTTAGGGCAGTTCGTTCACTTTTTTTTGTGGGAACATCAGCTTTTTTTTTAATAAATAGATACAAGGAACACAAAAATATGCAATTTATAGGGATATGGGCAGGGGAGGGGGGAGGGAGAGAGATGCACGGTAGGGGAGTCTGGCCCACTGTGTAATACTGACAGTACAGGCCCTCAAGAGACAAAAGAACACTATTCATTATTTTCAAACTCCTTTTCATGTTGCAACCAGGTAATTACTGAAAAATATTTTATATTGGAAATGTTTTATTTATGATTATACTAAAATTAGAGTCAATTGATTACCATTTATAGATTAAGTTATTTTTTCATAGTATTTCTTAGGTTACTATTTGCTTAACCATCACATCCTTGATCCTGTCTGTGACTATTAATTAAAGTTTTACTGTATCTGAATCGATATAAATAAGTTTATTTAAGGTTATTTTGAGAACATATTTCTCTGTACATTATTTTTGTCAATCTTTTGCTTTCAACCGTCATGAACATTCATTATTTTGCCATATCTTCATTAATTTTTAATATAATTTTCTTTGTTTCTCTCCAAAAATTTATTGATACCCTCATTAAGAAGAATCCCACATAAAGGCATCAATTTCAGTAGTAAATATTTGATAATAGTTTTTAAATATTTAGATTAAAAATGGTTTTGAATTGCAGTTGATAGACGAGTGAACCCGCTGATTTCTGTGACTGAACCTGAATCACCAACCATTAGTTCTCCACACCCACTATTATCAACAGAATCTGGAGGTCTTCAGAAAACTATATCTGGATGTTTTCAAGTACCTTTAAGTGAGCCCTGTTCCCGGCTAGCAACCAATGAAGTGAGTGACTTTACTTGATATATCACCAGAAACTGGATGTTTCTTGTTGCTACAAGTAAACATTAAAATATATAATTAACTTATAGTAAGAAGTTGTGAAATAAACAATGAAATAGCTCGATATAATTATATATCTCTCAAAGTAAAAAAATAAAATATTTTTATTTTATTTTGTGCCAAAGTTTCAGACTAAGTTCCAGGCCTTCATCAGGTCTGAAAAAAGATAAGATAACTATAAAAAAATATTAAACAGTTACTTAATATTAAATATTAAAACGGTATAAGAACATATTATATAGACAGCCACACAGCAAAAGCTTGTAAGGACAATTTTATTGAAAAAATGGTCAATCTAGCCCTGGCGCATATCCTGACCTCACAAAATGAAGCCTAAAATGTTTGATTTCTTCTCTAAGGCATTATGTAAACATTTATAAGTTAAAATTTGTATATCATGAAGTAAAAACCTTTAAATTACTGAGAAGTTTAAAGAGAATGTGTAGTTATCGGTTTGTTTACAAAGCATTTTGTGCATAGATTACCGTTTATTCGATTTTCATGAAATTATGAGAGAATATGTGGTTTAAATGCCTAGATGGTCCCAAATCAATTTTTTCAAATTCCACCCAGCACTTCTGCTTACGCACACGTTATTTTTTTTTAGATATGCCAATATTTCAGAAACGGCTCATTTGATTTGGCTGAAAGTTGGACAAAAGGTAGGTATTTGTGAAAACAATAATGTAGTGTCAATTTCATTGAATTCTGTCCGTTAATTTCTCTTTTATATGCACAAACGTATTTTCATTGATATGTCTATACCTGTTAAGTCACAAATTCGATTTGGATCAAATTTAGAGGGAATTTAGGGATTGGTCAACATATAATTAAATAGGCATCAATTTTAACAAATTCTATCTAATACTCCAAAAAAAATATACTTACGCTTTCAGATCAGTAAACGTATTATTTGACACACCCGTACACAAGTATTATTTGAGGAAATTTGGAGAATAGTATACAAATTCAAATTTCCTAGTATCATTTTAATTGAATTTCATTTAAGTAATATAAATAATTTTTAACAATATAATGGCTGTGAAATGTGAAAGGCATTAATCATACAGAATGGGGGTTAGGTTAATACAATATTACCATCAGGTTATACAATTTTAGCTTTTATTTTAAAAGTTAATTTATACTTTACTGTTCGGTCAATTCCGAACGTTGCTATATATATTCTCGCTACATCTTATTATTTTGCAGTTTTCTAGTTACTCAAATTTTTATACTTAATATTTCATTCTTATCATATTTCAATCATCATTTAATGTTTATTTCATTTTTATTGAACATATTAAGGCAACAATAATTACCACATCTTGTCTATTTTATATACTGCTTTTTTCTCCGATCTATCTATATTTTTTTTTTTTTTTTTTTATAAATAAATTATTTATTGAAATATATTACAATCTGTCTCAGGGACATTAATAATAGTGTTCGCAGATCACATTCACACTCTAAGTACAGTAAATAAAATAAATTATACAGAAAAATAATATATATACAATAAATAAAAATAAAATAACCTAAAAATAAATAAATAAAAAGAACACATGCACACCTATATACAATATTTACAACTTGGCGAGAGAACTCCAAACCAGACTTGTCCCTCCAACTGTGGAGGGAAAAGTATGACTCCAGGAGTTCCCTGCACTCCTCTCTCAACCGCGTCACTAGGGCTAAACCCAGTGGAGATTGAGCAAGAGTGCTTTAGCCACATACACTCATGTCGTGAGTGGAGAATCTGGCCATTGCCAGAACTCCAATATTTACTAACTATAAAAGATCACGGGGCCACTGCCGTTTTAACCTCCTTGGAGGATTATATGGATGGGTGGTGCTGGATAGAGATTTTGTAAAGGGATTTGGATGATGGATAAGGTTCTGGTGGAATTTGGAGAATTTTGCTGGAATAAGGTCTAGGACAAATGGGATATTAAGGTCATGGTGTAGGATTTTGTTATTTACATAGAACGGAGCATCAACTATTGTTCGAAGGACTTTTGATTGGAAGGATTGGATGCGTTTGATGTTAGTAAATTTTGCTGTTCCCCACAGTTCAAGTCCATAAGTCCAGATAGGTTTCAGTATTGTCTTGTAGATCAGTAACTTGTTTTCAATGGAAAGTTTTGATTTTATGTTTAGTAGCCGGTATAGTTGTCCGTATCGTCAGTTTAGTTCCTGTCTTTTAAGTCTAGTATGACGGTTCCACGTTAGTCGTCTGTCTAAGAGAAAGCCAAGGTACCGGACTGTTTCCGAGAAAGGAAGCTGAATGGAATTAAAGTGTACTGGTGGACAGGAACTGCGTCGGAGCGTGAAGGTGATGTGTTGGCATTTGGATTCGTTTACTTTAATTCGCCATTTATTACACCAGTGCTCAATCAGGGAGAGGTGTCTTTGAAGGTTTAAGGATGCTATATCAGGATCTGAGTCGGATGATAGAATGGCGGTGCCATCAGCAAAAGTTGCCAGGAAGGTATCGGGATGGACAGGGATATCGGCGGTAAAGAGGATGTAAAGGACGGGACCCAATACGCTATCTTGAGGAACACCTGCCTCAATTGGATAGCAATCCGATAATTCACTACCGCAGCGAACACGGAAGGTACGATCTGAGAGGTAGGAACGGAGGACAAGGTACAAGGACTGAGGAAGATAGGTTTTCAGCTTGGAAAGAAGCCCGGCGTGCCATACCCGGTCGAAAGCTTGAGCTATGTCCAGAAATGCACCCGAGCAACATTGCTTGCTTTCCAATGCTGCGGAAATATGATCGACCACTCGGAGTCCTTGTTGGACTGTGGAGTGCTGTGAACGGAATCCGAACTGATGTGAAGGAAAATTTTGGGATTCTATAAAGGGTAGGATTCGTTTCAGGAGGATCTTTTCAAAGATTTTTGAGAGAATCGGAAGTAGGCTAATTGGTCTGTAGGACGTTGAGGTGTAGGGAGGTTTGCCTGGTTTCGGAAACAGGATAATAGTGGAATGTTTCCACAAGAGAGGAAAGTGGGTGATTCTTAGGATGGCATTATATAAGTAGGTGAGAAATATAACAGCTTTAGGAGGAAGTTGTCGAAGGATTTGAAAGGTAAGGAGGTCGTATCCAGTAGATTTACGGAGAGGTAGTTTTTGTAAGTGATGTTTGACCTCAGAAGGATTAACTGCTTTAGGTGGCAAGGAAAGTGGATCTATCTATATTCAATTTCATTTCTTCATCATTTAATTGTTTATTACACTGTTTATTTCGTTACTTTTTCAAAAGTAATTATATCATTTCAATACCATTAGAACAAAATAAAAAATGAGGAATTTTATGGTTTGTTCAAAATTTATTTATTTTTATTTTTTACTCTTTATTTGTCATTTATTTCATTTAAAAAATCAGTTCTTTTTATATTTGAGTGCATTAACAGCCACACAATATGCAATATTGCAAAATCATGTAAATACAAAAACTAAAATTAACTTAAACTTTCAAGTATATTTTTTATTTTCTATTTATAAATCAGCCTGAATACAAGGGGTATAAGAATACACATTGACCTTAAAAACTCAAAGGCATGTTACACAATAAAATTGTACTTTTTTGTAAGGATTTTACAAAGTGGTCGTTGTACATAAAATAATATAACATTGCACATCATGCTTGAAATGTATTAAATAAAGTGATTTGTTTGTAGGTAGTCGCTCTATTGGAACAGGCTGTCACTGCTGTTGCACCATCAGAATTCAGGTGTGTAGGTAGAGGAGATGCTTTGTTGTTGGAGTCTCCATCTGGCTTACATGTGGAACTCGAAGTCGGACGACAAAGATTGAAATTGAGAAGAATCTCTGGAGATCAGATGCAGTATTCACAGCTCTGTCATCACCTGATTGCCTCAATCTCTAGTTAACACATTCATTTTTAAATTTTGCTAAAGCAGAAATATTCTACCACTGGAGGTGTTTTATGATATCTCAGGAATCGCTTTGGTATTTTTGTCCATTGTATATTTTTAGCTTAGTTCTATTTACATTGTTTTATTATATGAGTATCTTTTATAAAAAAGTACTTTAAAAATTGTGGCCTTTTATTGTTTAATATTAAGCATAAAGCTGTTAAGTTAGGTGTTTTCTGTTATAAAGAGGCTGGGTAAGGGTAGAGAGTATACTATAATCCAAGGATAAACTAAATCCAAAAATACATAAATATTTGCACATATTCATTTTAAAATAGTTGTCAGTTGAAAAAGGTTCATTGGAGATTATATTAATTCTAAACCAATATTTTTTACATTTTTTTTTTAGATGAAATAGGGTGTGAGGGTATATTTCTTTCTATTCTAAATGCAAGATTGAGAAGTTAAACTTGTTATAGTTAATGATACATCTATACAAACTATTGCCTGCAGAAAGTTCTTCTGATGGATGTTACATTTTATTCAATTCTTATTTGAAAATTATAAATAATTTTTTTTTTAATATATTGCGAGTACGTGGCACTTAAGAGTAACATATGAACTGATGGATATATTGTTCTGAATTAAAAGACCTAAAATTTTCAGGTTAATTTCTTCAATTACCTTTTAAAGTGCACTTATTCTAGTCAAACAAAGTAATGAAAAATTTTGTTAAAAGGTTATATTCATTTTTCTTTCCTTTTGTTTTCTAGTATAAAAAGTGATCTCAATCAAGTCGGCTGTGAAGTGTTCTTTCAAAGAACAGTGCACTTGGGGAGGGGGGTGTTAACAGAAGAAATTATTTGGTCAGATTGATCATTAGTTGACTCTGCAGCTTGTTTAACTTGGATATATATATTTCACAAAGTTGTTATTTCATTTCCTATTAAAGTTGCTATTTTAACCCAGGACTAAAATAATTAAAAAAACAAATATTTTTTTTATGTTTTTGCATTTTAAAATATATACTTTTTTCATTTTTTAATAGTTTGTGGAACAGTATTAATTTAAAAAAAATATATTTCTAAAAAATTTTTTATGCAACAACAAACAATGAATCAATTGGGCTTTTAAAATATAGTTTAACTTTTTGGTAATTTAGTCAATACTTTAGAAAATAGCAGTTTTACAGAGTCATTATAAAAACGACAGAATTGGAGTTCAATCTGAAATAAAATACTATATTTGCAGTAAACAATTAAGATCAATTTTAGTTTTTGTTAGCAGTTTTAATAACAAGATTAATATTTAATCTCAAGACATTGTACATTGATAAATAACTTCAATAAAACAAAAAATCTACTTAATATAAGTTAATACTCAATTTAAAATTTTTAGCCTTTAAATTAACAATTAACTTAAACTTTCTTAATACATGCTAATTAAATTAAAGTCAAACTATTTGAAAAATTACTTTACAACTGATACTTAAATGGTATTTTTTAGAAATTTTGTGTACTATAAACTTCTGGATAAATATTTCTAAACATTAATTTTGCAATTTAATATAAAAAAAATTGTTTATAAAGCTGGTGAAAATAATTATTTTCATAGAATAAATAACCATTTTTTTTCCTGATTTTTAACTTTTTCATTAAGTAACTAACTCATTTGATAATCATTTTACAAATTATTTGTTTTGTATTTACTAATTACATATTATATTGTATTATTAAAATTTTAATTGAGAACAATTCCACTTTCTTTATATAATTTATAGATTTTTAATTGTTATCTGAAAGATTATTTATATTATCCAATCCAATCTGTTCAATTGGATTTTTATCAAAAAAGTAAATGAATAATTATTTAATCTATGGTGGTAATTATTTTTCTATTGTGTTTTCTTTCTTATAACTACAATCTGGTGACTATAAGATTGAAATAAATTCCATAAAAATTATTAATATTTCTTCTGACTATAGTAGTTATGTCAGTTAAATCTATAGTTAAGATGGATAAATATAAAACATTTATCTAATTTATTTCCATATATCCATTGATATATCAGGCATGCCCATTCACATAAACAAACGTTTTATGAGTGGTGGTAAAAAACACCAGAAATTTGCAAAAGTGGCCCCTTGCATGTTTAAATATGTATTATTGCCAGTGTTTTTTAATATTTTTTATTTCAAATTATCTGTTAATATTCATATTCTCCGTTAAAATGTTTTCTTATTTTATAATGAAAAGATAAGATTAAAGTTATCATAAAAAATGTGAAGATTCCTAAGAATGTTGTTTGAATTTGATTACAAAGGGTATATAGGAATACATTTGTTTTATTTTGTACTCAATCATGCCATATTTTTACTTTATAAGGAACTTCAGGATTTATTAATCCAATTGACTTATAAATTTTATAGCATTCTTTGTCGTTTTCCTGATCGATATTTTTGCTTAGTGATACTTGTTTATTTTACTATTATATATTGTTTAAATTATTATAATTGTGCCATAATGTAATGATACAACTGATCATTTTATATATTTATTCTCTGTTAACTGCAATGTGTGCGTATACTGTTTTGTTACATTCCATGAAATCGCTTATAGCAATATTGCTTTAGATAATATATTGTAAATAGTTAAAACCTCTTTAACATCAATTATTATAAATATACATATATGTTTTTTGACGTACAGAATAAATGCATAACTAGATTTTAAAAAATTGTATGCTTGATATATTTGCTGCATATTTATATCAGAAGTATTTAAAATGCACCTTATATATTTTTAAATAAGATTATAATGTAATTTGTTAAGTATTAGTCTTTTAAATTTAAAGCAACAAAGAACTTTTATATTGTCCATTGGGTTATTATTTTATTATAATGTTTACTTTTTGTTGATAACTAAAAAAAAAAAATAGTATAATATTTGGCTTAGATATTGATGATTGATTTATCTTCCTTAAAAGTCTGAAGAATAATCATTTGTCTTTTTTAGTTGAATAAACATTATCATTTTCAGATCAAAATAATAAGTCACTGGACTATTATACAATATTGAATATTTCATTCCATGTAGTGTTAAGATATTCACTTATACTGTTTGTTTTTGTTTTTTCTACGTATTTTTTGTTTTTATGATAGTTATTAGCGGAAGCCTTGTGTGCACAAATTAACTTAAGTAATTCTCTATCGCTAATAATTTATATCTGTAACAGAACTGTTAATTATGTATATTACTATATTTGAGAACCATGTACATTGCTATTGTGAATAGTGTATCATATGTATTTCGAGGAAATTTAGAGGCAATAATGTATATTTTTTTTATGTTAAATAATTGTAGAATTTTGTATAAGACCTAGGTGTTTAGAACATTTGATGTATAGTATCTCTGTAGTTATAAAAGATATATATATATATATATATATGAACACAGGATTTTCATTGCATATGTTTATTTATAACAGTAAAATGACAATGGATGATTGTTGTTCCTTCAGAAACAGTGGTTTTGTATTTTGACTTCCATTATATGTATATGTATGACATCTAATTGGAATGAAAGTTGAAATTTAAGGTGTTCCATTTATCTTTTTTTTTTTTTAAATGAAGACTGAGACTGTTATTTACCCAACTTTATTGTAAAAGAGCATATTTTTTTTGTTTTTTATTTGCTTTCATGATATTTTCAATGGTATTATTAACAATTTGTAAAAAAACAAAAACAAAAATAAAACATAAGGATTATAGCAGAATAAAATCATACTATTGGAAATAATATAAATAATTAGGTCTATTTTATTAAATTTTTTCGTTATCTTTATGATTTAAAAAAATTCAGTTACTATTTAGATCTCGTAGTTAATAATATTAATTGTACCATTCATTGCTTCTGAAGTAGTAGATTTAAGTTTTAAAAAAGTAATAATAATTTAAAAAAAAAAGGTATAAATTATAAAAATTCCCTATTCACTATAAAAAAACGACTGTGAAAATACTTTTAATCCTAAGCATATTTTGATTTTTAATAATAAAATATTGTTTGTATAGTTTGACTGAGTTATTATAAACAACGAATCAATAGCTATATTATTTTTATTTTTGTTCTTTTAAATTTTATCCTTACATAGTATCTAAAGTGAATTAATGAAATACAGTTTATTGTTAGGAACCTCCTGTAACATTTCACATTTTCTGTATTTTATATAGCTAATTTTGAACTGTTTACAGATATTTTATGAAATATATTCTAAAAGTTTTAATGATAATTAAGAATTATTCGTTGTGTTGATCCAAAGTGGCCCAAATATAGAATATGAGTTAAAAATCTTTTCATCTTTTTTTTAAATTTAAAATTAAATAAAAGTTGTTTGGTTATGCGGACCAAAGAGAGAACACAGGACCATGTTTTAATATAAATTCTAGTTCTTTATCAGGACTATGTAAAATAAGCTACAACCTTAAAAGTAGCAGATTGTTAATTAATATAGATATAGTATAAAATACGCAAGAGAATATTAAAAATGTGAGCGATGCATCAACTTTCACTTTTCACCCTACTTTCAGTAGAAATTAATTTTTTATAAAGCTAATAAACCTTAAAAATACTACTTTAATTATAAATAATAACTTACGACAATTAATATAAATTTTAAAATAAAAAATTATGACAATTTTGTGCCATGTATATTTTTGGTTTATCAAGCTAAAAAAGAATTTACTTTTTCATGTATTTTTTATCGAAATTTCATTTAGTTTCTATGGAAATTTTTATTTTATATTCAATAATATAGAATTAGGTATTATTAACTGAAATAATTGGAAGTCATTGCTTTTCATCACCTTCCATTATCTTTTACTACCTTGTATCATGGATATTCATTTTTCTAAAATCTGTAGCTTTCCTACAGTATATCATTCATCTATATTACTATTCTTATTGCCGGACTTTGTTAATTTGTTTTCAACTTGCAAAACTATTTCTTCCACTCTCTCCTTTAGTTAATTATCAAATATTTTCTATCTACTTCCATGTTACAATTAACTATGAGAGATATTTAATTATTTCAAAAAAACAAAATCGAAGGTTCTTTAAAGGAAGTGATTTAAAGGAAATTTAGCATTTAAAACCCATTAGACTATCTTGATGAGGATAAAAACCTAACTAATGAAAATTGTCAAAGCTGTTCAAGAAAATTGTAATTTTCAAAAAAGAAAATTGTAAACAAATATAAAAGCAATTATATAAATCAGCATTTCTGGTGGGTCAATTTTAATGAAAAAGTTGCTGAAGCATTTCTGGCATATACCTACTTTAAATAGGTAATTTCAGTGTTGTGATTTTTGAGATATGCTGTGTATTAACACACATTTTTTTTTTAGACATATTGATTTGGACTAAGGGGACCTTAAACATGTATTTCGGTGAAAAACTAAGATTCAAAATTTTTCATGATCGCAATGGAAAAAAATCTGGTGCATGCAACACACAACATTCACTTACTGCTCAGCTTAGTATAGAAATTATTTTCTGGTCATGTTGGGCTATTATAAAATTTTTTAACAGCATTTTTAACCGAGCTAAAGGTAAATGCTTACAGCTAATTAATCATAAATACCATTAAAATAACAAAAGACCTATTTATTACATCACCAGTTAATTATGGGTTGTAAGATCCATTGATTATGGATTTTACGACTATTAGTTATTAAACTGTTATTTTCTATTGCAAAGTTTACTAAAATGGAATTAAGAGATTAGCATTGTCTGTCATAGACAGGTCAAAAGTTGTCACACTTATTTAAAGTAGATACTGTTGGAATATCAAAAAGAGAAAATTCATCAAATTATTCACCAATTTAATTTTTCAACGTAACGATTAACGTTAAATAATATTAGTTTTCAAAAATTATTATTTATAATTTTTTCGACACCCTTCGTTACCTTCTACAACTTTCTATAGTAGATATTGTTTTTTCTAAAATTCTCCGCTTTCCTACGAAATATTTTACGTATACCATCTGATTGGTATTTCCGGAGATTTATTTTCGACCTGACCTGGATAAGCATTTTTATTTTTCTTCTTTATTCAATTATCAAATTCTTTCAACAGTTAAATTAAGCATTTTTTCATAACTCGGAATAATGTGAGATGATTATTTTTTTTAAATAAACATATTAAAGGTACTTTAGAGCCAAACGTATGTGAAAATCGGGCATTTAAGCCCTGTAAAGTGACATCAATGGAGATAAGACCTGATTGATATAAAAGACCACTTAATTATACAATGATACATGGAGTTTAATCAAAATCATTAGAGCCGTTTTTGGAAAAATGTGTTCAGTGTTTATATAAAGTGGCACTTCCGGTTAGCCAATTTTAAGGAAAAAGTTGCTGACACATCTAAGGCATGTACCTATCTTAAATACGTAATATCAGTTTCATACAACTTTTCGTTTTTGAGCTAGACTGCTAACATACACACAGACCATTTTGCGGGACTTGGTTATTTGGACTCAAGGTACCTCAAACATAATAAGGGAAAAGGAAAAATACATGAAAAATTGTAGCAGCTTGTGATATGAAAATTATTTATACATGAATTAAGGCAAGTGAATGAATGAGTTTGAAAATATACTTCATATCTCATTCTTTCATTAATTTTCTTCTTTTTTTCATAATCCATTCTTAATTTTTACTTTCCATAATTCATGTGTACATAAATTTCATATCAAATGATGTTAAAATTATTCATTCACATCTAAAAAATATCTAAAAAAAAGTAATAAATATTAATATGAAGGTGGCTGGACTTCTGGTGTCCCATCTCAGAAACTCACCCTGAAAAGCGAGAATAAAAAATATAATAATAATACTATAAGTACCACCCAAATAAATTCCTCCAAAAAGGTAGTCCCAAGCTCTACTGGGATGAATCGATTATAACTGACCATACTGTGCGTCACAATAAACCAGACATCCTTCTGATAGACATGAGAGAGAAAAGAGCAGAGCTTATTGATGTCGGGATCCCCAATGATAATAATATAAGCTGCACTGTTAGAGAAAAACTGAGAAAATACCAAGAACTGGCAATCAAATTGAAGGAATTATATCATTTGGGAAATGTCACCACCAGTCCAATTATAATATCCTCCAATGGGCTGATACCAAAGTCAACAGTGGCAGGCACGGTGGGCTTAAAATTAAAATAAAAAATACTAATATAAAGGTGGCTGGACTTCTGGTCTCCCACCTCAGAAACTCACCCCGCAAAGTGAGAATAAAAAATAGAAATAATAATGCTTTATTTATTCTGGGACGAGTCCCTTTAGAATAATACCGAAAGACAAAAATGTGGGCTAAGGAGCCTCAGAGATACATTAAAAAAAATATAGAGTAATTAAATAGTCATAATAAAAAAATTATAAGTTACGTTCTAATTTAAATCAGTTAAAAATAAAAAAAACTAAAGAAGAGAAGAATAGTTGGGATGATCAGTCAAATGAGAAGGCAAAAATAAATGATAATATTTATTTTGACATTTGCCGACGTTTGACCTGAAGTTCAGGCCTTCATCAGAGCTAAGAAAAGAACCAGATAATAAGGTATGAGAAACAAAAGTAGTTATGTAAAAAGTTAAAGTAAAATGCAGTTGTTAGAATAATGACAATAATAAGAACTAAGAGATAAATAATAATAATTGGTACAAAGTGTGGAAAGATGAAGTAAACATAATCAAAAAAGGTGACATAAGTATTAAAATGGGAATCTTAGAATAAACGTAAAACAGAAAAAAAGAAATATGAAGTTATATAAGAAATGGAAATAAATTTAATTTTACTATTTATTTCCATTTCTTATATAACTTCATATTTCTTTTTTTCTGTTTTACGTTTATTCTAAGATTCCCATTTTAATACTTATGTCACCTTTTTTGATTATGTTTACTTCATCTTTCCATACTTTGTACCAATTATTATTATTTATCTCTTAGTTCTTATTGTCATTATTCTAACAACTGCATTTGTATATATACTGCATTAACCAAAAGCAAATGATCCGTATCTATTTCAGCACCTCTGATCACTTTAATATCTGTGAGCCAGTGTCTGATATCTTCTTCAAATATAAAGTAAACAATAACACTGTTTCTTTCCTGTATTGAAAATTTTATTTTATGAACTCTTATGGAGAAAGAAGGGGTTACCAATAAGCATTTTACTATCACCACAAAAATCTATCAATCTTTGACCATTTTCATTTTTTGTCTTTTCACCTCCATGCGTTCCCATGAATCCATGAGCATCTCTAAAATCCCACCCTATCCTTGCATTGAATTCTCCACAACAGATAATATTCCTATTCATCCTTTTGAACTTGTTCATTATTCTTTCTAGGTCTGAGTAAAATTGTTCCTTTTCTACCACAGAGAAATCTTAAGTTGGAGCATAAATTTGTACTATAGTGATTTTATCTGGAGATAGCTGGAAATCGGCTGTTATTATCCTATGTAGGACCGCCTCCCAACCTTCCATTTTTTTGTGTAATTCTTTTTTATTAACAAAGCCGACTCCTTCTTTGGCATGTTCCCCTTTAGGAACCCCTGAATAAATTAAAATGCAAGCCTTATGCAGGCGCACTTCTCCAATTACTTTCCTTTTTACTTCAGATATACCAAGAATGTCTATCCTGTACTTTATGATCTCCAAGAGTTCAACTTCCTTACACACAATGGTTTTTATTTTCCAAATACCAAATCTCAAGCCCTTTTCCCTGCCATGTTGTTTCCGATTTGTCAGTCCAGTGTCGAGGCTTCTTTGAATTCTACGAATCCTTAATACTTCTGTAATGGTGATTGGCCCAGCAAGAAACTCCCTACACCCTAGGACAGGTCTACTGTTTAATGTTCCTTGGCCGACAGAATGACTCTATATTCACCTAGGGGAGTTGAACATAGGAAGTGTACTGTTAATGTCAGTATAACTGTATTGTGTACTGAGGTGTGAGCGATGATCTGTACTGGGATACCCAGGGGAACGTAAAACCCAGTTAATTGTGCAGAATTAACCCCTGCAGATATTTTGCTTCAGTAATTTTTAAAAACAAACATACATTTGAAATTTACTTAAACCATGGATCATAAAAATTTTTTGCCAGCGGGCCACATTCAGATCTCGACTAAGTTCCAGGGACCTCATTGAGAACTCCATCCAAGTCTTGCTGGCCATGGCTTGTGATAAAAAAAAAAAAAAAAATTGTTCTATAAATGACACTTTAACTCTGAAATGAGTTTTCTTAGAGAAAAAAAAAAAACACGCAATAAATGTAGTAACCTCATGTGTGAGTAATTTTTTAAATAGGTTTTCAAATTCTACGATGTAATCAAAGGATCTGTCACGAAACGTAGTTTGGAGACCTCTTACTTAAACAACGGAAAACAATATATTATAAACGAGACGTTGAATCTTTGAGTTTTATTGTTAGCAGCATCCTAGTTTTTCATGTGTCCAGCACTGATGGAGCTAGAATGATTATATTTATTTTCTCATTGTGCAGTTTAATCTTTGTTCTTTTTATAGTGATTCATTTGCCTATTGGTCATAATAAATTAATCAAATTAGTCTTTGATTATAAATTTATTGAACGTTTCGAGCTAAACTTCATCCCCTCTCTTCAGCAATATATTATTCTCCCAAGAAATTGGGTAATTCATAATATTCAATAAAATAAGATATTGTTTTGAATATTGTTACATATCCAATTGCTTAGGAGAATAATATATTGCTGAAGAGGGAGATGAAGTTTTCCTTGAAACGTTCAATAGATTTGCAAAGACTAATTTTGATTAATTTATTATGACCAATGAGGCAAATGAATCACTATACTTATTTTTATTTACTACAGTCATATTTTATATTTCGTCAGGGAAATTCATTATTATATCTCAAACTAACAAGGGAATGTTGTAATTAGTCAGTAACTAATTTCAATTAAATTTGTTTTAGTGGTACAGAATCAAAAACTTTAGGTACATGTCCCAACATTCATTCCAATGAGCCTTCAGATCCAAGAAAAAATACATTTCATATATCGAAGAGAAAGATGGTTGGGGTGATCAGTCAAAATAAAATGGTAAAAATAAATACATTTATTTATTTTTACCATTTTATTTCGACTGATCATCCCAACAATCTTACTCTTCAATTATTCACTACAGTCAACCATAAACCCATAATTATATTTCATATATTTAAAAAAAAAAAAGTGGGTTGTTATTTAGTTTTATCTTTGCTTTGACCAGATTGATAATTTATTACACACCAATCGATATATTTTTTTATACTAAATAAGAAAAAAATATTGCCGATTGTATTAAATGAATTATAATATATCATAAATTACAAAAACCAAAAGATGCTTCCAGTAAAGTTGGCCAAGTAAATGTATTAGGAAAATGTAAGTTATGTTTCTTTTAGCAGTCCATAATAACTTTTAAATAAGAATTTGTATAGAAATAAAAAAAATACAAACTTTAGTACTTGATTTTTATGGACAATTTATTTTCTGGCTGTCAATTAAAGCTATTATAACTTCTCAGGGTTTTCTCCAAATTCAACGTTAATACTACTGATGGAAAGCTAAATTGCTGCTCCTGCAGTCCATATCAATAACTTTTATATTTTCTTCCTTAATAATATAGAAATAAAGAATCACTTCTCAATGTTATATTTTATAACTTAGGTTATAATATTTTTTTTATTTATATATTTTTCCATTAAATTTGCTACTGCATTGTAACGTATCAAGCAAGTGTGTTGGTGTTTATTCTATCTTCTTGCATTCTTGATATTTTCTTAACTTGTCTGCAGAAGATCTCTAGGCCACTGCCTTTTTAGTCGTCATTAAGGCTCACGAGGTAACAGGGAGGAAGATAGAGATAGAACAAGTGGATTTGGATGTAGAAGAATGAAATGTTGTGTACTTGTTGTGTATATAGGATTTTACTTTAGGTTATAATATGTTTACGGAGTTCTGTTTGTGCCATTTTGTGTAGTCTATAAAACCCTAAATTTTTTTTGTTTGGATCAGTGGAGTCATCTTAAAATAATCATAATTTTAGTAGTATTCCAAAAAAGTCAGAAGGTCGAACGAAGGCAAAAATCTATTTATCTTCAAATTGCTGCATTGGTCAGTACAATTTGTTTCAATATTGTACTCATTCTAGTTATTTATAAATTTGACCGACTAATAAATAGACAATACATTTTATTTATCATAGGTGAAAAATAAAAATTATATTTACACAATATGTTTCACAATAAATTATATTTCAAAGGATAATTATATTAATTAATTAATAAAAGGAAAAATTTAGTTCACCTATCTACTTTGAGGACTTATATGGTGAAATCTATTCCTAAACTGTCACCAGCTTCTGGTTTTCAAATCCTCTAGAAATACTATACTGGCAAGGAAGGCTCCGCTCTATTAATACAGAACACAGGAGAAACTTAGATAATGAGGAGAAATTAGCACATCGGTGTGTTCACATTCATTGATTTAAGGTTATTGCTTTGTGATTAATTAGGGATAAGTAGAATGCACTGTTGTGTTCGTAGTGATTGATCCAGTATAGAGAGAATGTACTATTGTTTTCACAGTGATTGATTAGCGGTAGAGAGAACGCAGTGTTGTGTTCACTGTGATTGATTAGGGGCAGGAAGAGTGCTCTGTTGTGTTCGTAGTGATTGATCAGGGGTAGAGAGAACGTATTGTTGTGATCGCAGTTATTGATTAGTGGTAGAGAGAACGCACTGTTGTGTTCAGTGTGATTGATTAGGTGTAGGAAGAGTGTACTGTTGTGTTCGTAGTGATTGGTCAGGGATAGAGAGAACATATTGTTGTGTTCACAGTGATTGATTAGTGGTAGAGAAAACTGTAAGTAATTTTGCTGCTTTACTCTCCTCTGAGTGAGGCACATGAATCTGAGTCCTGTTTAATCAACTTTAAAATATTTAAAAACAAAATCACTACTTAAATGAGTGGAATAATTGACCATATGTTTTGAATTTGAGATAACTTAAATATGAAAATAGTTAAATTTTCATTGTTAGGTATTAAAAATAAATATAAACTTTATATTTTACCATTATATGATAAAGTGGTAATTAAGGATTTATTTAACAAAAAATTAATAATGAGGTACTACCATGGTGCAAATTTATGTCAACCCATTTTAAATGATGAACTACGACTCCTAATATTAAATGAAGCATGAAGTTAATAACATTAATCAATTGGGTTACATTAAAATTTAATATAATACACTATAAGCAGGTTTATGGCCAGCCATTCCATTTATTTTTTAAAGCTTATATTATTAAAATAATGCATATACTGATTATTTGTCATCCATATTATTTCAACAATCAACTACATATAAATCCATCTCTATTTTATTAATTAGTAGCAGCATGGTTTTTTTGTACCTAATACATAAGGACAATCAAGTCATCTAAGGATGATGTTTTTAATTTGTAAGTAAATTGGTGGTCCATACTTATATTATTTATAGGCAATACATATTTATGTTTATTGAATACATATTTTATTAATATATATGTATTTTATCAAGTGACAACTTAGCATAAGGGTGTAAAAGAATAACGGAACAAATGTAAAATAAGTGAATTCAAAAGAAATAATAGTATATATTTTTTAGATTTTATTTTTGCTCAACCAATAAAAGAATCGGTAGCAACTACATCTGTTTTTTAAAACAATTCTAATACAAAGACTAGATCTATTGTTTTATAAAAGCTGTTGTTTTAATATAACAATGGATTTTAATTAATCTTGGTCCAAGATTTAAATTTGAATGCTGTATCGCTTTAATCTACTAGCGGTATAACCTATTGAAACTGTTTTGTGGTTTACTGAATGTTTTTTTTTTTCAAAGTAATACAAATTATTAAATATCTGAGATTCAAGAGTTTGATTAATTTCAAAATGAGTAGAAGATTGTGAATAGCCAGAAAAGCCGGCATTGTATTTCTACACGTGTGGCATTGCCTACCATAAACTTCCGTTTGAGGCCAAGCTTAGTACGCCATTACTTCTCTTGGCGTCGGTGTTCGTTCGTTGTTGTATATCTAAGGAGACTGCTGAGTGTTTGTAGTGATCATAATGGGTAGACCTTCGAATGTAAGTGTTAGTTTTATTTATATTTTTTCAAAATTTAAGTTGAATTATGTTATTAGTCGTGAAATCGTCCCATTTATACTTATTTTAATCTACCGGTTAAAATATGAGCTTGGACCTCGATAGCATATTGACCACTTTTATATGTATTTAATTCTATTTATACTTTTAATTCGTTAATTCATTAGAATTGTTGATATAATCGTTCCCTGTGAATTAGGAACAATTTTATATTCTCTTAATTGAAGTTTCATCATAGTAGTTGACTTTACATGGGCTGTATTCTAATACCAAAACGTAGGCGTCTGTAGCTGTATACAAATTAATTTTCCTTTGGTTTTATCGTTTTCTTTTACTACAATACTTGAACATAGCATTTGTTTTATCATGTGTAGCAGTTTCTTTTATAATTTTAATATTCAGCCATTGGTAGTTTTATTTAATCCCATTTTGTTTTTTAGGACAATAACCCTGAAGCAGAACAGTTCAGAAAACTGTTTATTGGAGGACTAGACTACAGGACGACTGACCAATCTTTGAAGTCCTTCTATGAACAATGGGGTGAAATTGTAGATGTTGTGGTTATGAAACATCCTCAAACCCAAAAGTATGTTTTTATCAGTGACCAATATGATTTCAGTTAGACCTAGGATCTAGTAAATTAATAATTTTATTGTTCTGCAGGTCCAGAGGATTCGGCTTTGTTACCTATGCCCAATCAAGCATGGTTGATGAAGCAATGAAAAACCGTCCGCATAAAATTGATGGTAGGGAAGTTGATTCTAAAAGAGCAGTTCCCCGGGATGTAAGTTGATTTATTAGACATTTTTAATTTATGTTATTAAGATTGTTAATTCCTTCACAAACATTTACCCATTGTATAAATCCTCTATTTTATTTGTGGTTGCTTTTGTGATTCATTGTGTTTTCTGTTTTAGGAAAGTGGAGTGCAAACAAATGCAAATGTGAATGTGAAAAAAATGTTTGTTGGTGGATTAAAAGAACAAACTGAGGCAGAATTAAGGGCTTACTTTGGTAGTTTTGGCAATATAGTTGGCATTAATATTGTCATGGACAAGCAGACTGGGAAAAGGAAAGGTTATGCCTTCATTGAATTTGATGACTATGATCCAGTAGACAAAGCCTTACGTAAGCACAATGTTTATATAATTTTATTAATATCCCTTTATATCCTGACCAATTAATTATTTACCTCAATTAATACCTTTGAAGTAGCGTCACTCAATTACTATTGATAGGTACTTTTTCACATAAAGATCGAATTTTATTATTGACAATATGTTCACATGAGAGTAATACTCCTTTATTTATATTGCCATTTACAATTTCATAAACTCTTTAAGTGCCACTCCCAACAAGATTGGCGTCTACTTTATGTGATCAGGCTGTATGTTCATACTGCTACTCTGAAATTGGGCGGAGTATCAACAACCCTGATGAGGGGGAGGGGTATATGATAAACAATGCCAGAATTTTACATGTAGTTTTTTTATAAGAATTTAATTTTTATTGTCTTGTAAGGCAATACAAATTCAATAAGAACTTCTGACTTGTTATTTATAAAATTAATTTTAAGCTTGACAAACCAACCTTACAAATTTAAATTGCCACTTCTTCGCACTTGTTTGCTCAAAAGAGTTAGACTAACTCTCTCATAGTTTTTTTTATTTTCACCTACTTCTGTAACATATAGTAAAGAGAAGTATGGCGATCCCGAAAATTCTCTAATCTGAGTTTCTAATGGAAATACATGTTTTCAGATCCCCTGAGTCCAAATAACTAATTCCCGCTAAATGGTGTATGTATCTTAAAAATGTAAAGTCTTGCCCAACTAAAGTTGCAAATTTAAGGTTTTTTCATGCCTGGGATGTTACAGCAACTTTTTCTTCAAAATCGGCATACTAGAAATGCCACTTTATATCTTAGATTGAACACATTTTTACCATGTTCTCTTTTTAGAGTAAGTTTGTGATATTGAAAAATTAAGCAGTTTTAATAATTTTATGGTACTAGTTCACATGAGTTCTGCACGGATTATGTTGTTCACAATCACTTCGATCATACTTGTTCTTAAAATCCCGATAACAGCTGAATGTTTGCGTCTTTTATGATGTCAACTATAGCTCCCACCATACCTACAATCTCTTTTCATGCATTTTTTAAGAAAAACAAAATCCGTGTTCCCTTCATGGAACTTCCTTGTTAAGAAATTATGTTTTTACTCCGAAAGAAAAAAATATATATATAATGATGTTTTGTCCTTCATTTACATTTTCTACAATGCATTATTTTCAGTAATCAATCACAATCAATTGAATCAATGTTCAAATTTAATTTCATTGCTGTAGAATTTTTAATAAAATCAATACACCTCTCGACACTAATAAATAAGAAACTTGAACTTTTTATTAACCGTACTAAAAGTAATAAAATCTTTATTGGAAACGTTATTTCAACCTTTGTTTTGATGCAAAAAAATGTTTTATAAAAAAAAAAAAAATGATTAATATATGTTCCACTTCTGGAACCATGTCATGTAGAAGTTTAATACATATCCATATTGCCTGTTGTTTCAACATCAACAAAGCTATAATAATGCCAGTGTGATTTATACATATAGAATCCATCAAGATTGAAGTAATTCTTATCGGTCTCGTGACAGTTATGCCTGACTGACTGTGTAGGGTTCACTCTGCTTCTGATGTTATCCTTCATAAATTATAATATATTTTTTATTAAATTAGTATTAATGTTCATTTGTACTTGATTTTATAGTGAGGAAGGACCACACGATTGGTGGTAAGAGTGTCACAGTAAAGAAAGCTGTAGTGAAAGAAGCTAGTGGTGCTCCAGGAGGTAGGGGCGGCGGTGGTGGAGGTGGAAGTGGAGGCGGCAGTGGTGGTGCTCAGAGAGGCTCACGTGGTGGGCGAGGCCCAGCTGTAAACACGTGGAGTGGTGGTAACCAATGGAGCGGTGGTGCTAATGGCTATGGAGGCCCTTGGGACAGCCAACCTCAGGGCAATGGCTGGGGGCCCCAGTGGGATCAATATGGAGGTAACTTATCCGAAATTATACTTCCTTAATTAAAAATAATTTTATTCCAATTATTTTAACTCATTACAATCTCCTATAAAATATTCATATATATGATCTCTTTGATGACAGGAGGTGGCTGGAATGCCAACGGATACCAAAGCTATGGTGGCAGCGGCGGTGGTGGTGGAGGTGGTGGTGGTGCCGGTACTGGTGGACCAATGAGGAACAATTATAGTGGACAAAACAGGAGTGCACCCTATGGAGGTGGTAAGTAAAGAGATTATTGCATCCTGTAAATAAGTAATCAATCATATTTAATGAAGTTGGTGCGCACGCAGTTATTTCCCCACTTTTAATCCTTAGTTATGATTTACTACTATTTAGACTTAATTATCATTAGTTAACCTTCACGCTTTTTTTTTTACAATACTTCCTATCGTATTTATAAAAAAAGAAAATATATCATTAAGTTGATTCAAATTTAATTATTTTTTTCAAACTTGATTTGCTTAACATAATAAGCCCAGCTTAGAATTCTTCTGAATGTTAAACTTAGATTTATCTTGCCTTAAGTGAAAGAGTTTTCTATATTTTATTAACATTTCTTCTGTTTGGTTATTTTTTGTTTCCTTAAATAATTTAAAAATAAATTACGGTTAATAATCATGGAGTTGTTTCAAGATATTTTCTTTTATTGTTCAGGCTTCTTACTAATAATATTCCTCATTATTATTGACCAGTGCGCACCAATATGTAAATATTTTGTTTAGTGAAAACTTGCCAAGATATTAATTATTTTGTTAAAGAATTTTTTAGTTTATAGTGTTATTTTCTTTCTTGGCATAAATGATCAACTAGTTTAGCTGTGCATGCTTTGATAATGTTTTTTCCCTAATGCCATTTTTGTTTATATTTTTTGTCTTTTCCTTTTTGTCTGTTCCTTTAATTTCCTTATTTGTTATACCTTTAGTTGTTTAATTTTCGACATAATTTTGTTTTTAATGCAGTGTAAGGAACTTGTATCTCGTTTTTTATTTGCCTTTGCTTCAGGAGCAATAAAGAAATTATTAAGTAAAATCTTGAATATATTTTTTTTAATTTAAGGGATTTTATCATAGAGCCAGTTTATCTTTTGAGTTTATGCTGAACAGAACATCCAAGATATTTTAAGAATAGGAGGGGAGGGAAGTAAATGTTCAAATAGGAGTTCAGAATTCTGTTTGATCCATTTTATTTCATTTCTGTCCACATAATTTTGTTAGCTCTACTTTTAATTACAGTTATTTAAATTTCTGAATTATAAAAAACTTATTTTCATATTACTATGTCATAACTCAATCAAAAACTCTTAAAATTTCTCACAATCAGAATTATTCATATTATTAAAGGATTATAATCTTAATTTATAAAGTTGTTATAGATTAGTTTAAAAGGTATGATAGGTTCTTGACTTGTCAGTTTCAGTTTTAAAAATTAGTATGTATAATATTGAAAGAATTAAAAATTATTTTTTTCATATTTTCCTTTAAGATAATTAAACATTTTGCACTAAACCGAAGGCCGCCAGTGGCAGGTTGAGTTAGAAGGTTGAGTTTCCTATCTGTATTAGGACTAGAACAGAGTTTTGTGGTTTTTATAGATGTCATTTATTATTTATTTATTTCTGATACATTTCGATACTTCAAGTAGCCCCAGTTTGATCCAATTATTTGAAATTCTATATGTTGAGTTGTTTTCTAAGCCAAATAATATGCCAGGTGCCAAAAATCAGATAGATTGAATTAACAAATATGCTACAGTACTGTATCCATACAATTTAAAAGAAATAGTCCAAGATAGTCAGAGATAAAGAAGGCTTGTTAAGGCTGAAAAAAAAAAAATCTACAAGATCTTGCCAAGAGAAGGAAAAAACAATTTCTTGGTTGTTTCCTTCTAAATATTAAAGGATGAGAATGAAAAAATGTCTTTAAAGTTTCCTGAAAATTCCTACAGGATCAACCTGTTTTATTCCTTTTTCCATTACACTAAGTAACATTATGGGGACTACATAAATAAGATTATATCTTCAAAAATATTAATTTTAAGCTGTTGCAATGACAGTATGTCTCAAGAGGTCTAAACTATGTAAAACTTCTTTTTTTCCCTGGGAAACTTTAACATGAAAGGGTCTATTCTAGATAACATATGCTACTCTTTTATAGCTCGCGAATAATATGTGTTATCTGCGAATTGTGATGGGCCATTGCACGCAGATTTATATAAAAAATACATTTACGTTTTATTATTTTTGTTTATTTTTTTGTATCTAAGAATTTGAGTTATGACATTTTGTTATGAGGGATATTCTTTATTTCATTTTCAGACTTACTTTTTGATTCATAGTACCCTAATTTCATTTTATTTTGTAATAATCATTGATGGATTTAATATTAATATTCTAACTCAAATGTTACTTTTTTAGGAATGGAAATATAGAGAGAAACTTACGTATTTTATTAGGTTGTACTGATTTTAGTTTAGAAATTTGGACAGTAGTGGTTGTATAGAAACTGTATTGTTAACTTGTCTATATTTCATATCACAATTAGTGATCAGGAGTTGCTATTATAAAACTTAACCAACCAAACCAAAATTGTTTTTGATGAATGTTCTGTATTGGTCGAGTATTCCTCTTAATCCTTAATGAATTTCTTCTTAAATAATGTTATGGTTTTAGAATTTCTGCAGTTTTAGAGAGATTTTCGATTTAATTGAAACCAGTTACTAAGTTATTGATAGGTTTATCCAGCTTTCATCTGACTTAGATCTTGTCTGTTAATCAAGTTTATTGCTAATGTTATGTATAATTCAGTAGGAGGGATCAGCATTTATCTTTTAATTTAATTACAATTAAAGACTGGATTTCTATTTGGAATAAGTACTAATGATTTTATTTTAAAACCACTTTTCCATTTAATTTCAGGTAAGATTTTAAATCATGTTAATTTTGAAATTTAAATATAAAATGACCATAGACATAATATTTACCAAGATTCATAGTTGGGATATGCAAACTATTTCATAATTAGAAACTGCTTATTTAACTCTTAGCTAGACTACTCAAAATTTTTTTGTAACTAGTCCAGTTAAAATAACCAGAAATTTAAATAACACCATTATCATTACCATATACTAAATTAAAATATATAAATAAAAAATTAAAAAGTAGACAAATTTTTTTTTATTGTTAATGTATTTATTATGTCATCTTTCTATGCTAAGATTGTGTAATTTCTTTGGAAAAATGTTAAAATAAAAAAACTTTACACAACTTAAGGCTAACTGAAACAGATTTGATTAAAGTATTTTATTTCAGTTAATGTAAAATACAGTAATACAGACAAAATTTATTATGTTATCTTTCTGCACTAAGATTGTGTCATTTCTTTGGGCCAATGTTAACCTGACTTAAAACTTCAGGCTAACTAAAACAGATTTGATTAAAATCTTTTATTTCAGTTACTGTAAAATATATTGTGATCTATTGTAAACTAAATTATGCGTATACCTAAATAATAGTTGGTTAATTATAAAAAATAAATTAAAGTTACTAAAAAAAGGTGTTTTTATACCAGTTAAAATAACCAGAAATTTTATCAACACTATTATTATTACCATCAACTAAATCAGAAAAAAAAATTAAATAGACAAAAAATAATTTTTGTTCATTGATTTTGTATTGTTAATGTATTTACTGTGTCTCCTTTCTGTCTGCACTAAGATTGTGTCATTTCTTCGAACTTGAGATCGCTGCCTGTTGTCAAGTGGCAAACATCTTATACAATTTTATTTGTCTCATGATAATTGAAACATTCATATGATCGTAGTGGCAAAATACAGAATGTCTAATAAAAATATAAATTGTATAATGTAATGCAAGCCGTGTCCAGTCAAAATCAAGAAACTTAAATTAATAGTCAGTCCAGCTGTTCTATTATGAAAACTGGTTCTTAACACTTTTCAACCAGTAGAGAGAAAAAAATAAAAGAAATAAATAAAAGAAATCGATCCCATCATGAGTGTTCTATTGGCCCAACACGACCAGTTAAGAGTTACAAAATTTTTGCTGTGTTCAATCATAAAAAAATGAGAAACTTATCAAAACCTGTTTCATTTGTATATTTATCTTAATGATTTGTATATTAATCCATTAATGTATACTTTAAATAAAGAAGTGTTCTGTTAAGTGCAATGTATAAAATAAAATACTGAATAGGTTAAAAAGGTAAGGATTAGTAATATAGAAATCCAGTTTTTAATTATATGAACATCTTAACACTTATTTAGATGCAATAATTTAACTATAATCTTACTAATACCCAAATGCTTATATTATGGGCAGTGATACCCTATTCCTCATTCTTTTCTACATATACCCCAGTCCAGTAATATTTTATATATTTTCCTTTTTAACTTAGATTTTTGTTAGTTATTCTTCCTGTTTATTATTTCTTTCTTTCTTCATTTTTTTAATTTTATTTTAATCCTGTTTTATAGATAGCTAGCTATAGTTATTGGTTATGGTTTTTAATTTAGTACTTGAACTTTTTTTTTTTTATTAGTATTAAAGAGTTTGGTTTTAAGTGAAGTTTTGATTAGGCAAGGAATATTAATAGATTTTTTATTGATATTTATGTAGGTAGGAGGGCGCCACGTTAAACTAAGATTGACTAGGAGAAGAAAGGAATTATATTAATAGGATGGTATTAAACCCAAATAAATATATAATTTATATTTAAAAACAAACTATTGAAAATTAATTAAAAAAAAATGTTACTTTACTAAATCTTTTGAATTAAACAAACACGTTTGTTACTTCAGAAGTATCGTTTGTAAAGCATATTACTGCATATGAAATTTTTTTTTTTTTCTTTTGAATTAAACTGTTATTAGTTTTATGTTTTGTACAGACTATAAGAACTAATATTTATGTTAAATAACTTTATTGATAAGAAAATCGCAAATTTTTATACTTAGAAATGAGTTATAAAAATTGTGGCATGGGTGGTTTTAAATTTATTTGTGAATATAGCAATTGTATTATGAAAAAAATGACTTAATTATTATTTATATTTATTGATTATTGGCCCATGCTGCATTTTTATTTCTTTTCTCTTTCTTTCTACGTAAATTTGAATATGTATTGATTCGTTGGTTAATCTCGATTGTAATTTTTAAGGGATTTATTGATAAGCGGAAAAATTTTCTGGTAGTTTAGTAGTATAGCACACTTTGTATTGTATTTGATAGTAAACCTTCTACTTTAAACTTTTGACTACTATAATAAATATATTATATGGTGAGTCATTAGTTGTGGGTATTTTATATCTTAACTTTTCATCCTGTATTACTTTTTGTGGCTGATATAATATCTTCAAGGAATTTAGTTTTAATTAGGATGGTTAAATTTTAATGCCTTCTTGAAGATAGCATATAATAGTTCTAGTTTAAAATTATAAACCCAATTTTAATCATTTATCCAACTTTTTTCTTTTTTGTATTTATGAAGTGAAGATTAAAATTTTTTTATTGTATGTGATTTCTGTGTGTATTTAATATGTCTTAGCATTTTTATTTATTTACACTTTATGTCAATAAAATAAAAATTAATCTGAAATATACAGAATTGTTCAGTAACTCTAGTTTTTCCAATATTAGTTATTATCCATTTTTCAAACGACCAAGATTTACTAGATCATCAGTTGTAACTTTTTATTATTTATTTAATTTTTCAATCTCAAGATTTTTATGTAAGATACTATATTGTTAGTGTTATTTGAGGGAATATTTAAAGAAGCTTCTTTTTTCTTCTTTTAATTTGTCATAACCGTTGGTGCAAAATTTAAAAAATAAAATAGCTTTTTATATATTTTTATTTTATTTTATTATTACATTTTTTTGTTTCCTCAAATTGAACAACTAAAAAAAAAAAATTAAAAAAAACATGGTGCATAGCTTTGGTTTATTTTTTAGTCAATTATTCACTTTGTAAGTATCGCTCTTTATTTAAATTTGTGTTTTTATTGAAGTTAACGTAATCAAGGCCCATTCTATTTTATTTTAAGTGTTTTTTCAGGTTCATCAAGTAATTTTTACTCTAGGACTGTTTTAAGGGAAACCTCTCTTTGATAGGAATAGAATCTTAGGAATTTGTTGGCTTATTATCTTCACTAGGCAAGATAAACAACATTAAGAGTATTTTCTTCACATTTTGGTAATATTAGTTTTCTTAATCCTTATGTTATACTTGAAATCATTTTTTAATTTTTTTTAACTATTTCTTAAAATTAGAAATGATACTGTGGGTTGTTTTGTTTTGGGGTATTAGTTTTTCCAGGTACGACCTGAAGATTTTTTTGGCATATGCCTCTGGTTAGGTATAAAGGACTTAAATCTCTGGATGCTGTTGATGTCCAATTTTCACCACATTTATTTGATCAATAAGTATACAATTTTTTCTGCATTTTTTAAACTAACTTATCATTAGGTTAATGTGCTGTGTAATGCGTAATCTCTACACCCTTTATTCTTAATTACATCCTTATTCTTATTTTAAAAAATCCAATTTCCTTTCCATTGTTATTGTCAAGCCTACACTACCATCTTGTGGTAAAGTTTTGATCTTTTAAAGTTAACATGTTATATTTTATTGCATTACAAGCAGTTTTAGTAGTTTATACAATTAGCGATATCTGGTAAAAGTCCGATCCTTTATTGGTTTGTGTTATGTTGAAGGTTGAAAAGGTTTCACACGCTCAACACATAGCACAGGCTCAATGAAGAATCAATTCTAACTTGGCACTTCAGTTGGTGGTAATTAATAAAAGAGGTATTGTTCTAGAGTTTATTTATACATTAATAAGTTATTGTTATAATTAAGAGTTTTTGTTAATCTCTAACAAGGTAACAATAAGCTTTTATCGAAGTTACAAAAGTAGATATAAATGGAGGAGCAACTTAAATCAAATGTAGAAGTTTTAATGTTATTTCAACTGTTTTGATAATAAAAGTCATTTCAACTCAATAAAAGTGTAACAGTCTCCAAATGATGACCTGTGTTCCAAATCTGCTCATCCAAAGTTATTTTAGTTACATTGTTACAGTGGAAATTTTAGATCTTAATTGGTTAATCTATTAAATGACACTAATGGAGGGAGGGTTCCATATGCAGGTCTTCCAAATATTTTTTTAGAAAACAGTGGGATGAGTAGTAATTATCTCCAATAATGCTTGACACCTGTATATATCTGTTAAAATATGTAATTTACAGTAATTAAAATCAATAGTTTGTGTAAACAATAAAATTTAAAGTTTTCATATTTTTTTTTTGAAACACTAGGAAAAGTTTTCATATGTTCAGGAGGCAAAAACTTTGTTCTCAGAATCTGAAATTTCACCCTCATCTTACATTTTAGACCGCAAGGGACAGTATTGTTGGTTCCATGTCTGTCTGTAGTTAAATCCATTATAAAGGCTTATGAATAAAGCTCCAATGCCATTTATTCTATTTTAAGGAAATTTTCAGGGATTATGCTCATATGTAACTTATGTTTACCATTTTAATTCCATCCAGTATTTTGCTAATGGGTGTGCAAACATTTTCCTTACTACCCCAATTTTTATTTTAAAAAAAAATAAGCTATTTCAGTTACAAAACATTGGCATGTTCATAAAAATTATGCTAGTCTGGAATTTTTTTAAAAAAAAGCTCCATTTTTGTGAAAAAGAAGTTAAAACAGCCGCTAAAACTATCAATACGATGTTTTGGAACCTATTGCCTCATGTCTCTAAATGATACTTGCCGGAAGTCATTGGATTTTCCAGCAGGATTCCACTCCAGCTCACAAAATCAGGTCACTTCAGCAGTGGCTGACTAAGAACATTCCTGAGTTCATCTCTGCCTCAGATTGGCTCTCAGGAAGCCCTGATCTCATCAACCCACTAGATTATCGGCTTCAGTCCAAACTGGAGAGAAGTCTTGTCACAGAGCACACTCTCACTTGGAAAGCTTCGAACAATCTCTGGTCCGAGCAGTTAAGCGCTTTTCTTAAGAAGTGCTGCTATTGATGACTGGCCACAGAGATTTAATGCCTGTGTCAAGGCAAAAGGAGAACATTTTAGTAATTTCTTTTTTGTTTTACTCCGTGTAGACATATATTTTATTTTCTAATAAAGTTTTTGAAAAAATTAATTTTTCTGTTGAAATCAGTATGTATTTCCTTGTAACAATATTTATGACTAGGTATTGTCCTGATACCAGGATTTTTTTAAAAAACATTTCTATAAGGAAAGGAACGTGGTTAGAGGGGTAGAGGATTTCTTGTTTAACTGCTTTAAAATTCATTTATGGGTGGCCCATAATTTAACTATTTCCTCGCTATTTTAAATAGCATATAACTATTTTCCCTACCAAAATAAAATGATTTTTATGTACATATGTTCTTTATAGTCTTCAGTGTTTCTTTTATATGGAAATGTATTGTTTAAGTGTTTTTTTATTATTTCATTTATTTTTATATATATGTTGCAATGTTTTAACGTTATATATGTATAATGTTTTGGTCTGTTTAATATATATCTTGTAAGATAAAAGTATTTTTTTATTATTACTTTTGTTTTTGTTTACAATATTAATAATATGAATATAATACAATAAATAAGAATACAAAGATATCAGATTATCAGTGTTAAGGCCATAAACATTGGCAGATAGCAGTCGGGCGCAACCGGATATTTAACAAGTACCATAGATTTTTTAAAAAAATTAATGAACCAAAGTTTGTAGGATGTTAAGAGAAAAAAATATTTCTCAATTTATAATTATTTTTCATGTTAATGTTTTATATAAATATTAGAGATATTATTGGTACGGTTACAATCTACATTTATTATGGACATGTATATACTATCACTTACTAGATAATGTACAGCTAATTCCAAGCAGACGGACGGTGTCTGTCCCTTGCTTATTTATTGTTTATATATATATATATATATAAAATTTAAAATAACTGTAATTCAGTTTTGAGAAAATGTATACTTTAGTCATTGATATTCTATCACTTATTGTTTGTCTTTTTTTTTATTTGTAACTAAAGGCAGTTTTACAGCTCAAGTTTTTCAAATCAACTCGGGATTATACAAGGGCAAGTCAAAAAGTACATGAAAATTTTAATTTCCTTCCTAAATGTGTATGCTAGATAGTTCTGCTGCTATAACTTACAATATCTATCGGCTGTTCATTCTTATGACTCAGTAAGTCTGTTCAAAATGAATTATCTTTTGTCTGATTGCACAAAGAAAGAAATAAAAGCTAGTGATAGTGATACGTTTCCTTAATTCAGAAGGTAAAACAAGCAAAGATAAAGATTATTCGCCTAAAGCAATATGGATGAACAGAATCGTTAGAATAGAGAGAGGGAACAAAGATCTATGTATAGATTAGTCATTTTAAAAGTGGTTTAAATTTTCTGTGTGATTAACAGTGGTCTGGTAGGCCTTCCAGTTGAAATACTGATGACAATTTTGAACAGTTATACAACTGGTTTTTGATACAAATCCCCCTTTTAATGGGATAAAAAGATGAAAATTGCTTGAAATCCTGTCTGGACTAAATGGCTGGTCCAGTAGCTGATAACCGAGATTTTGGTTTTGAAAGTCTTTTATATTTAATTTTTTATTTCAATGGACGCCGTAGCGTACAGGAGTCTCACTACTTATCATTTTGCCTTTATGTTCGAAGTCGACCAAAATTGGACCTTCTATATCCCAAAATATTGTCATCATAACCTTTCCTGCAGATATCGGAGTTACTTTTTTGCTGTGGGATATAAATGAAGGTTGACACCACACCAAAGCCGTTTTTGCACTAGACTATAGAAAAATGTGTTTTTTTTTTTTTCGCTTATTGCACAGGGAACACCCAATTTGTGTCACAGGCATCAGTAGTCTCAACTTTACAAAATAAAAAATCTGGTGTGTCCACTCACGACTTTCCTACCTGTTTCAGAAAAGTTTTTATATCTTTACATATGTTCATGAAGAATCAAAAAAGAATTGAACTAGGTTCATTTTCCTGAAAATTGATCAAACATAAGATTTGAGTACGATTTATTTGATTAACGAAAGCAATGTAAACTGGCTTAAGGTAGGTCAGTGTAAAAATTTCAATACTTCCTAATATTGCTGATAGAAAACTTTTTGTTAAGGGTAGAGGAAATAGTGAAGATTGTGTGATGCGGGAAACGGATTTTCTTACTTTTACTTAGTCATCTTTATTCTCTCATTGATCCCTTTCTGGCACCAGGATATGAAACCGTAATCTTCCATTGGAAATTGAATAGCTGTAACTTCGTTAATAGTTGTCCAAAATGAACGTATATAACGCATAGTGTAAAAAATAGAATAAGCTGTATCATCACTAATACTGGTTTGATTCCGATGATTTTTTTTTTGGTCATTTAATTACCTTTCAAAAGTTTTATTATAAATGTTACCATATAATATATACTGAGGGAGTTAGGCCCCATAACATTTTTCTTTTCTTTATAACTTTTTTTACTTAATTTTTTTGGTAATTTAGTCTGTATATGAAAATTGAAAAAATAAGGACTAGAGCATTATAGGAAAGTTTCATCAAAATCATTAAGAGCCGTTTTTGCGCTACTCTCTATAGAAAAACATGGTTTTCATTTATTGAGCATGGAGCACCTAATTTCTGTCACAGGCATCAGTAGTCAAAACCCTACAAAATAAAAAAAGAAGCAGCAAAATCGGTTTAGCAGTTCCCGAGAAAATCTTGGAACAGACAGACAGACCAATGGCTAAAAATGTGATTTTTGAACTCAGGGGGCTCTGAAACACTGAAACATATAGATCCGTCGTAAATTTGACCCGATTGCAATACTTTCTTTACCTAGTTTATGTAGGAAAGTAATAAAAAGCAACAAAATCGGTTCACTAGTTTCCGTGAATCTTGGCACAGACTAATGTGTTCCAGACTCAAGCAGCTCTGAAACGTGTAGATATTTGGAAAACTGCATATCGGAAATATGACCCAATCGCAATACCGTTCTTACCTAATATAGATAAGAAAGTAAGAATGGATGGAATGTACAGAATGTTTTAAAATATGGTTTTGTTTTCTGAGCACAAGCAGCACTGCTGTTGTGAAGTAAAAAAAAATTCAACATGTGGAAATATGGTCCCGAAACAACAATGTAAAATGGTCTCAATAAACAAACTAGCCAAGTTTATACCACTTAATCGTATTATAGCTAGTATATTGTTGTTATTGTCTCCATAATTATAATTAATAAAATTTTATATTTTCTAGACAGCTAACGTCTCCAGTTGAGGTCAAGCGAGTGAGTTGCTGGTCCAATTGATAAAATTTTTCAAACTAGTCTGCTCCAGGAATTAAACCAAGTAATATGGATAGGTAAGGCATTTTGTAAAATTATTTATCAGGTTCGAGTTTGATTTAATCTAATCATTGTTAACCAACTTTTTACTTTATTTTTTTTTAGATTCAAGATGATGGAAATCCTGGTGCCATAAACTTCTGTTTATTGTGAAATAGATATTAATGATAATTATTTTTTTATTTATTTAGTTTCCTTATCGATGATCTATAATGAAATATAACACAGTCAATTTTTAAATGTGTTTTTTTAATTAAATACTGGTCAGGGATTAATTGTAGTCATCGTGGTTATTTCAAAAACAGTCAACATTCATATAATGAATACAAAATAATATATGGAAAAGATGATTAGGTGAATTTGCAGATATGAGTTTGTTATTTTAAGCTGTTGTCATTTTTTGTTTAAAAAAAGTATACCTTTTTTTTTAAATCACTAGACAAAAAAGAAATATATATTTTTGGGTCACTGCCCAAAGTCAGGTGATTGCCAATTTATCAACATTTTATAAACAAAACATTTATTTTCTTTAAAATAGTCGCCATGCTCATTACCACTAATTTACAGTTTATACATTTTAAAAAAATATTTTTTTGTTTAAAATTCAGGGCATATGTTGATTGCACTTCTTATATAATGGATAATAAATTAAATGTAATTATGCTATTAACCTAAATAATTTAAAAACTTGTAAAAAAAAAAAAAAAGTTTTGTATTAATAAATGTAATTACAATTAATTAGGGTTACTGTTTCATCATATATTCACTCCTCTTTGTTGCTCTTGCAGCATTTATTTGTGATACATTATCCTATCTCTGCTCAATTTAAATTTATAAAACAATATAATTATGACATTCTTCAGCCTTTATCTTCACCCCTTTCTCATTAGATGGTAGAGAGCTTATTCAGGAGTTAGCAAGAGAGAAATAAAATGTTCTTGCTATCCGGTTTATAAAAGAACAGCTCCTAATAAGAGAACAATTTCTCTCAGTGAGGATAGAAATATAAATGTGAATATAATAAATTATGCAATAATAAAATTATTGTATATTAAGTTGCTTGTTTCATTACACTAGCCTGAGTAGTTGGTTTTATTGCCTAGACCCCGCTATTCCCAAGCCTTTACTCTTATAATCTGTACTTGTTGAATTATGTAGTTACGTTGAGCGGATTGTTATATTCCGGATCTAATGATGGAATATATTTAAAAATGTGGAAATATTAATCTATATAATTATAGCAGTGGTTATAGATTTTGAAAACTAGTTCCCTTGATGAGTTCTCATAAAAGTGGTTATGTGAACCCTAGTTCTAGTTAAAGGATTTAGAGTGTTCAAATTAAGGTAAGTCAACATTTTTTTTTAACATGAATGATTGAAAAACTTTTGTTTTGTCTTCTCTATTGCTTATACATATATAGTTATCAGTTGGGTAGAAAAATGATGAAACAACTAAAGCATTATTTTAATTCTGTACATATTAATTTAATGTTTTATATATGTATATATATATAGTTAAATTAATATGTACGGGATTAAAATAATCAGAAACATGATTAAAATGATAAGAAACATCATAAATGAATGTACTGATCAAGCCACTAGTTAAATTGTGAAAGCAGGACTTGTTCCTGTCTGGATTAAGTGGCAACTGCCCAGGCAGGAAGCCATATATCCTGTTAGCAGTCAAAAGGGTTGAAAGAAGTTAACCAAACATATACCTTCCAAATTGTGCCAACAACAGATCAGGACTAAACTTATTGACCAATACTTTTTTTATCTCCCACTAACAAGAAATGAATTGTAGTTAAAAGTATACAAAATACCTAATTTTTAAGTAAATTGGAATTCCCAGTACATTGTTGCATATGGAACATTGTAAATTTATATATGTCTTCATTCATTGCTTGATTGTATAGAATTTGGACCTGGACTCAGCTTGCACATGTCCCTGCCTGCTATGGGATGATCTATCACTTAATTCCCATCATCTTAAGCCCAGGCTTACCTGTTTTCTTGCTGGTTCTATCTTCTTCCCATAACTATAAAACCTTTCCAGTCTGTTAAGTTTAATGACATAAACAGTACTGTATGCCTTATAGGTCCTATAGATGTAGAATATACCTAATTTTCTATTGGTCCTTAATATTGACCAATCAATTTCATAATTGTATATATTGGAGATTTTTCCTTTTGAGACAAATTTTTGCAATTAATCAGTTGTTACAGACATTTAAAAAAAGTTAAGACATTAATTCCCCGCTATGTACTTAAATATACAATTCCCTGAACTCATTTTCTCTCCTGTCATTTGTTCTGGAGGTCCTTATGTTGATACTCTTGTCAATATTAATTTCCTGACCCAGTTCTCTAGTTTCTTTGAGGAATTCTGCAAGTTTAGGTACAGTCATTGCTGCTTTCCTTATCACTGCACCCCATACCAGATTAAAAAGCACCTTGATAGTTAAATCTCTTGGTCTAAGAAATCTTCCTATTTGGAATATTTCTGAGATTCTTCCATTAAAAAGCACCAAGCCAATTTCATTCTGACCAACCCTATTAATAGGTGTAACTAGATTTTCCAGATGCCTCATACATTCAGAATCGGAAATGTCCATTTATTTTACACTCAAACATCAATGATCCAATTTGGTTAGGTGTATTAAATCAAATTATGTCTGTAGGCAAATGGATGTGACGGGCATATTTACCGTTAATTCAATTTTCAGGAATTAATGCAGGTTGGCGTCTAGATGGTCCCAATCTAAGTCTATCCTATACTTTTGCTTACGCACGTCCTAATGTATTTTGTTGGATATCTATATATTTCAGAAACAGGTTGTTCGCTTTGGTTCAAAATTAAAAGAAAGTTGGGTTGGTATAAGTTAAAAAACTAGGTGTATCAATTATACTGAATAACATTCGCTACTATATCTTAAAAATGCAAAGACGTTTTTCCTTGATACACCAATATCACTGAAACCGCACGTTCGATTTTATACAAAGTCGGAGAGAAGTTAGGGGTTGATAATGACAAAGTTTGTATCGAACTCTGCACTATTTAAAAAAAAATAGTGCGCGCAACACAACTTTCATTTAACGCTCATCTTTGAATAGAAATTATTTTCTGGCCGTATTGGGCTATTATAATTTTTTTTCTTTTTTTTTTTTTTTGCACTTACATATATTTATCCGCACCTGTAAATTTTTATTGACAATCAGCAGATGTGCTGGCTTAGTAATGAGAGAAAAATAAAATTAAATAAAAAGGCTTGATAGGCATGAGGAATAGCAATACCCAGCAGTATCCCTTCCATGGCTTTTATTTACTAACATTATTTAAGCAGATCCCTCATCCAGACCCTTTTCAGTCGTCTTCTGGAGTTCTCGGGCATACTAGTTGTGGCCATTTCTTTTACCAGCTGGTTGGAGTGCCCGTTTAACATGTTATGAAATCGTTTGTAGTACGTTCGTATGTGTTCATTGACTGTCGGAACGTGTAGGTCGGTGTGTAAAGTGTGATTGTTTACGTACCATGGTGCTTGAGTGATTAGTCGTAGTATCTTAGACTGAAAAGTTTGAAGTTTTTTATGTGAGTTGGTTTTGCAATTCCGTATATTTGTAGTCCGTAAGTCCAAAGAGGTTTTAAAGATACGTGTAAATACTTAGTTTCTGTCTTGCTTTTAATTTGGAAGGTCGTCTTAACAGTGTATGTAACAATTTTAGTCTTAGATTTAATGTGATTCGTTTTTTCTTCACATGTGGACCCCATGTCATTCTCCTATCGAACGTAAGGCCTAGGTATTGTACTCTGTCTGTTTGTGGAATCGGTATGTTGTCTAAGTATACAGGAGGGCATGTTTCTGGTCTTAGAGTAAATGTGATGTGCTGTGACTTTTGATAATTTATTTTAGTTTTCCAAAGTTTACACCAATCGAGTATAATTTGTAAGTGATGTTGTAAGTTAAGTGATGCCTCTGTAGGATTGTCGTGCCTGGTAATGATAGCAGTGTCGTCTGCGTAGGTTGCTGTAAGAGTGTGGATACTTTGAGGAATGTCGTGTGTGTATGTGATGTACAGTAGTGGGGCTAGGATTGATCCCTGAGGTACACCAGCTAAAACTGATCGAATTGAGGATAGACCTTGGCCATGTCGAACGGAGAAAAATCTATCTGAGAGAAAGGAATGGAGAATTAAGTAGTAAGTATGTGGAAGTATGGTCTTAAGCTTGAAGAGAAGCCCCTGATGCCATACTTTGTCGAACGCTTGGGCGACATCCAGAAATACTCCGGTTGCATATAATTTCCGCTCTAGTGCTGTAGAGATGTAGTCAGTCACCCTGTGCAATTGTGTGTTGTTGAATGTAATTTTCGAAACCCGAATTGATGGTCAGGAATAATCTGTCTGTCTGTTAGTATATGTAATAGTCGTGGGTACAATAGTTTTTCGAATAACTTAGAACATACTGGAAGTAAACTAATCGGTCGATATGAAGAAGGTTGTTAGTGTCTTTGTCTGGCTTTTTAATCATGGTTATGTGTGAGTATTTCCATTGTATAGGAAATTTGGTGGTCCTGAGAATGCAATTGAAGATTGTGGTAAGAAACACTAGAGCTTTCCTTGGCATTTGCTGGAGCGCCTCAGCAGTTATCAAGTCATGACCAGGGGTTTTTCTTTTGGGCAATTGTCTAATTTCTTGTGCAACTTGTGATGGTGTGAAAGGAGGTGGTGGTAGTGTGAGCTGTAGCGGTATGTCTAAGTTATTATGTACAAAAATATCGTGTTCTGTAATTAAGTCTGTGGTTTAAAAACAGTGGAAAGATGGTTAGCAAAGAGTTCAGATCTTTCCTCGTCCGAAACAGCCCAAGAGCCATCCTCTCTTCGTAGGGGTGCTGACACCTCACGATGCTTTAAAAGATTCCTTGTATGTCTCCATAAACTTCCATCGTCCGTCGAAAGGTTGTTAATAAAATTGTCGTAGTTTGTGCTTTTGAATTTTTGAATATGTCTTTTAAGTTCGTTGTTCAATCTGTTAAAAGTTTGTCGGTCTGAAGGAAGTCTGTTAGTCTGCCATACTTTACGTGCTCTTCTCTTTGCTCTAATCAAGTCCCTTATGTACATTGGATAATGGGGCAAGTTCGCTGCTTTTTGTGGCCTGGATGTTGATGAGGCCCATGCTGCATCTTGTATGCTTTTTGTGAATTTTTCAACAGCTTCTTCTAATTCCTCATGATTTTTAATTGAACCTGGAACGGAAAGATTGGTGTTCAAATAGTCTCTATATGCGTCCCAGTCCATGCAGCCTTTTATGAGCCTAGGTCTTTTTTGTGTTTCGGAAGGCTCATCGAAGAGAACCATGTGCACTGAGGAGTGATCAGAACAAAGATCGGAGGTTGCATTGACGGCAAATGGTACGGTTCTTAGTCCTTTTGTAATAAAGAAATCAAGTAAGTCGGGAGTTTTGCGTCTGGAGGTGGGCCAATAAGTTGGTGAATTTGGTGTTACAGTGTCTAATGAAAGTTCATGGAGACAGACCAGAGATTTCTGCCTCTTGGAGTACACAACCTTGAGCCCCAGCCTTGATGCTTAGCATTATAGTCTCCACCTGCGATGAAGCATCTTCCGAGGCGTTTGAAGAACTCAGAAAACATCGTGGGTGTAAGCTTGTACCTAGGGGGACAGTAAACTGAGGCAAATGTTATAGTGTAGTGTTTAGTGTATAGTGTTATTCCTGTCGATTGTATGTGGTGTAATGGGTAAGTCTACGGGATTGTGTTTCAGTGAATTTTTGACGAGTATAGCTGTTCCTCCATGTGCAGTTTTATCTGGGTGATCAGTTCTGTAAATTGTGTAATCCTGGATGTAAATTTTTGATCGGATGTCAGGTGTGTTTCTGTAATGAGTGCTACGTCGATTCGTTTTTCGTGCAAGTATAAGTCGAGTTCAGTACTGTGCTGTTTCAGTCCGTTGGCATTCCATAGAAGAACTGACAAGGAGCCTACAGTTAAATTATTGTGGGCCATAATTTGGGCACCAGACCTGTGTAACCTGTGACAGTTGTTGAAGAAGAATGAAAAGGGGCTGGATTA